ACGGCGACAGCGACGGCGACGACGGCGACGGCGACGACAGACGCAGATGATGGCTATATGTACAGACACATCTGTGTCTGTACATAAAAAGGCTTTTATTCTAAATACATTAATCTGTTAAGAAAGCAATTGGTTAAGCAAACTAAAAGTGGCGGGATATGACAGATAATCATTTCCCTACAAAAAGTCACAATACAAGCGACACAAAAAATGTTCAAATAAATAATAAACTAGCCAAATTTGTTTGAGTTCAAACTCTTAATGAGAACTGACTTTTCTTACCATGATAAATACATGTGAAGGTATCATCTTATGTACTATGTCGTCCATGGTCCCAGGGTACCTGAGCATGTTCAGATGTAGGCGTGGCAGGGGGATATGACCAGGAGCCAGGGGGTACAGGTTATAGTTTAGCTTATACTTGCTGCTGGGGAGGATTCTGAAGTGAAGCTGAAATGAGAATATGTTTTTTTATAAATCACAGTTGTACTTTGAGCGTGGTGTTTAAATCATATACCATAAAACCTTATTACTTGACAGTCAAGTTCAACTATGTATCTATACTTTGAATTATGTGTGATCATTGGTAAGCTTATGTTGGTTTTACCCTTTGATGAATCTTTTAAAACCTAATTTCATTAATTTTTTCAGGTAAATATTTAAAACTACTTATTGCTATATCAGCATAAACCTAAATAATTCCTCTGAAATAATAAGAAAATTAAAATATATATTATTTTTATTTAAATTGAAACAATTGTCAAAAAGAAATAAAGAAAGGCACTGTTACATGGTAAATACTGTTAAAAACAACTAAAATGTGCAGATTATAAAATTAATACACTGATGCTGAGTGAAGTTCTTGGAGCATCTCATCAATAATTGAATTTTGCTCTATTGTGTATCTGATGCTGAAGGAGGTGCCTTTATATTGAGATATGAGATAATTCAAGTGGTTTGAAGCTTAAAACTCAATCAAAGCAATGCTAACTGAGGTATCCCTGGATTAACAGACTGAATCAATAACGCGATCTGATGTTAAAGCCTTAACCATATCATTGTTTCCTGATGCTTTTAAGCATTTACTACCTATGATACCTCAGCTGTATCCTGCCTTCAATTATGATCTACCCTTCTCTAGCATTCTGATATTTTCTAACTCATGGTGTACTTTCATTTGTTTTTATTGACTTTTAAAAAAAAAAATCAATAAGTGTTGTTAATGTGGGAAGTGTGATAAATGTAGCATAGTATGCTCTGTGAGTGGATCCCCTTGTTTGGAGGAGATCTATGACGATTAACAGGACCAGGATTAACTTTTTTACACAGAAACTCTCTAAACATTATTCTGCAGGTACAAGACCAATAACTGGTCAGAGTCTGTCAAACTGCTCATGAGCTGAGTATCCAGAAATAGATGGAATAGACACAGCCGATTGCACATTATTTGTCAAACATTACTTGCTTAAAGACATGAATGTAACAAATGTGCAGAATCAAAGAGATCATTACACTGAGACGGGAAATAGAGGCAGTTAAATGCACTTAACTTACTCTATCTACCAAAGAGGTCGTTAAATGTACAAATCAATAGCAGATTTAAGTGTCATGAACCAAATCTAACATCAAAAAGTGAATTATGAACCAAATCGAACATCAAAAAGTCAATTAGATATAGATCATGTCTAGGTTTATCACATTTTCTAATGGTGGATATTGATGGTGTGCCATAACTGGACTGCCTATTTTATTTAATTCTCAAAAGGAATCATTTGCCACTTATATCAAACTGAGAGGCCATTATTTGACAAACTGAAAAATGCAACAGATGAAATAAATGGACAAAGAGCTTGGAAATGAAAAACTAAATCTACTAGCCTAAAACAATGACACACCATTTTACAATAAACCTGCTGTGTTCAGGAAATTGCGTTGTTACGGTATCAACTGCATGATCTCTAGACAGACCGACGAGGCAGATGCACAGAGAATATTGATCACCATACAAAAACAGACAGACACATAAATAAAGCCATCTGTATAAGTCACTATACCTGCTTGTGCCCAGACAGCATAAAAAGCTCACTGGAATCCATGGTCACTTCTATCTCCTGTATGTAGCCAGTCTTGTTATAGATAGTATATGTCACAGGTAGAGTATCCCTGACAGAGCCGTTAGAAGGAATGTCTACATCCACGGCCAGCGGGATGTGTTCCAGAGTCACATGGGGCAGGGGGAGGGTGGTGGTCACAGACGGGAGGGTGTCATCACCATGTCTGGAAAATACAGATAAAGGTGAATTTGATACTACTGAAAATATTTCATTGTGTGTTTAGAGTATCATTTTCCTCTTCTGTATAAATTTGGATCTCTACCAACATGCACCGACATAATAATACATAATTAAAAATGTAAAAAATCATTAAGTATAAAATTTGAATCTAACTACAAAATACACTTCAGAGAAAAAAAACATTTCAGTTGAATTCCGAATCAAAACCTTCCACAATTGAAGTTAGTGTACCTTACCTCTTCCAGTGTATGACGTAGTTCCCCAGGGGTACAGTGGGCTGTATGACAGGGGGAGCCACCATACAAAGACACTCCCCAGCATGCTCACTGGACTTGAGGGATACTGAAATTACATACACCTTAATCAAAACTTTGCTTTTTATTTCTTTTTAAACAATACAAAAACACAATTAAATTTAACTTTCCAGTTCACTTTATCAGTCCTTTCTAAAGTTAACAACTGTTAAAAGTATTAGAATTGCATTAGAGTGCAAACGTAATTAAAATAATCAGTATACTGCATTGAAATTAATTTAAACATACTTGATTCCAACTGTGATTGCACATTTTCACCAACATTCTTTATAAATGGTGACTGAAAAGGAAATAAGAGTATTTATAATACTTATAACTATGATATATGTAAAATATATATTAATTTTCTTTCTTTTTATTAACAAACTGCATTGGATATTATTCATATATCATAATTATCAGTTAAACCTTTCCACAGACAAAACAGTAGCCTTGATGGGGCATTAAATCTCATTACCATAGACTAATCCAATTACATTCCAAACTCATCTACTGGGTAGAGATCAATACATCATAACTAGTGTGTTCAGTTTTAATTTCTCCTCACCAGCTTGAGTTCACTGGTCTGTATCTGTATGGGCCACTGGGCGCTATTGTTGATGTCAGTCAGCACCATGAACGGGCAGTCAGCATGGACAGATTCTACAGCCTCAAACTGAAATATGGTCAAAAATATTGTTATAACAGGCGAACGAGCTGGCTAAACAAGAGCCTACTGGGCTCTGTTTCACAAAGCATCTTAAATCCGAAGTTGACTAGGCATATAGTGAAGTGATGTAGGTAACCAAGACCTTAGCCAGGGAACCTGACTTAATTAAGTTTTTTTGTGTGAAACAGAGGCCTGGAAACTCGCCCATATGTCAATAATAAAGGAGTATTGGAAACTTAGGATGTAACATTTAATTTAAATCCTTGAAGAAATATCTTAGTCTTAGTCTTAGGTCCTCCTGTCCAACGTAGGACATATAGATAGCACTTATTTAACTACAGAATGCCACGTGAAATGCAATTTAACTTTATTATTACTAATAATGGGAACCTTTTTAAAATCCCTTTTAAAAGAGCAAAGTGTGATAATTGACAATGTATTAATCCATTCAAAATGCAATGTCAAGCTATAATTCACCTTCATTGACTTGACTAGAAAAGTGACTTCAAAGGGTGGCACTGCAGGAATAGTTATAGTTTCTTCTTTCTCACAGGTACAAGTTACCATATGACCTGAGACGTCCACATCCACTTCATAAGTAATCTGAAAAAAATCCATAAGGGTATCAGTCATGTTCACAAATGAACCAACTTAGACAGCAAACAGTCTTGTTCACATCAAATTCTTCATCACAGGAGCAGTTAACACTAGAATCAAAATTACTCAACAAAAACTAAAAAATGTCAACAGCATTGAATACCAGCTAGTTATTCAATAAAAATAAATTAATCAACAACTAAATTTCACCATGTAAATCTGTCAAAATCATAATTTTTTAAAAATATTTAAAGGGATAATAACTCTTCGTATGAGGTCTATATTTCACAATAAAAACATTGTGAATAACTCATAGAAATATAATATATTCTGTTTTACGACAAAAATAGCAGTTATAGCTATTATTCTGATATCTGAGCTTGTCTTCAGATCACGTGACCTCTTATGAGATTTTAACAAAAAACCAAACTTTTTAGAAAAAAAACAGGGACTAACTTTGAATGTAAAAATGGATTCATTGACCATTGGTAAGTATGGGAAAATTGTTGTTTACTCCAGGAAAATTCATTTTTTGGCCAAAACGAAGAGTTATTATCCCTTTAACAATAAACAATCTCATGACATTACCCTAATAACTATTGTTCTTGTTCCTGGCTGAAGGCATTTCACAAAAATACTTTTGTTGCTCTGAAATAGAAGAAAATCTTTATGGAGTTTTGAGTTAAAATTTTAATACCTCATAAATTCTATATCTATACAATGAAACATCTCATCACTGTATTAAAAGAAACACATGTCAATCAAATATGTATTCTGATTAATGAAACTGGTAACAGACTGGTAACATATAGATACATCAGTTAACACTAAGTGGCTATATCTCACCTCCTGGCCAGGCTCTAATACCCCCTGGTTCCCTAGGGGCACCTGCTCACGTCTGGGCACTACTTTGTCCTGGTACTCAGCATGGTCCACTGTGACATGGGCTGAAATGACAGGAACATCATAACATCAATATATATATATATTTTTTAAATAACCAACTATTTTCATTATATTCATATATTTACCATAACAAACTAAATCATGTGTTTTTAATCATAAGATTGTGTGAGGAAATGACATAAAGTGCGACATGAACAATCGATTAAAATTGTAAGGTAAAGCAGAACCACAATAAATCTGAAATACTTGATATGGCAATATTACTTGTGTGATCCAAGAAAGTATCCAGTTTTTCTTTTTGTCCTACAGATAAACTGAAACAAGAAAGAGCAGTCAAGACTGAGATATGCATTTTTCTTCTAAATATATATTTTACTTATACTGCAGACTTATTAGGAAATCTGTATCTCAAACAACTACATTGCCAGAATAATGAAAATCCAAAATACTCAAATAACTGTAACAGCCTTCAATTTACAAATGTCTGAGAATAAGTTATTTAATTCACAACTCACTGATGGTACACAAAAGGTTAAAGGATGTGATACCTGTTATTCCTGGTGCTGGAAGTTTCTGTGTTTTTTATATTGAGTTTGATGTGGTAAAATTCCATGATAAGAGCAGGTGAGTGATGCTCTATGTTAACATCCACACAGGCCACCCTGGGGACCAAGCTACATGAAAGAACAGATATAAGCAACTACATACAGAGATACAGAGATTGTACAAAACAAGACTTTTCAACAAAATTTCGTATGTTAACTGCCTCTTACCATTTAAAATTACAAAATCTTCAAAGTGACAATGAGCAAAAAAGGCCCCACTATCCCCTCAAAAGGACTGGTTTTACTTCTGGGTATAAATTTCCTCGATAACGGAAGGAATGAGAAATGTTACATACATCTTAATAGCAAATATTAAAATAAAATGCACAAATCTGGATGCAAATGGAAATAAAAATTAATTTACTTTGCAGAGGAATTGGTGTCAATCAAGTCCCACTCCACAGTCTCTAGGTCTTCCTGTGAGCTGATCTTTTTCTTCTTCTTTCCACTGTGTTCTGGTGCAGGCAATATCAGCCCCTCACTGCCGCTGTCACTCCAGTGTAACCAGTGAAGGACAGAGCAACGGGAAGTCTCCGAGCCTAGCTCAAGGGCAATGGAAGATATCTGCAAAACAATACATAGTTTGGAAAGACAATAAGACAACATCTCCGTTTGCATTTGCAAAGTCTAGACACACTGTGTACTCACACTGATGAAAATATTACAGTTTCAGTTTGATAAACACTGGGTGAAAGGGGCAATGTAGATATAAAAGAAATAGAAAGTAGTTAGATTTCAATACTGAACTTCCTGAAATCATTCAACTGGCAGAAAAATCAACTTAAAAATGGTGGAGTTAAGTCAGGAATACAATTACTGAAGAAGTGCATTGATCATTTCAAAAAAAAGGAACAAGTTGAGAAGATTAGCTGACAAATCGTATGTGGGATGGGAAGCCATACAATGATATCAATCAGATGAGCCAGCCAACAAGAAGTAAATCTGTGCGGCTCAGATCACAGCAAATAGAAAACCAAGACAGAAAACAAATACACAGCAATGTCAATCAAAGCAGGGCTTAAGCTTACAATACCAGTTATGCCAATATGTTTACCAAGGGTACTAGGTAAGTATTACCTGTAGTGTTTTCCCCACATCCTCCTGTCTGGGTAGGTATGTGAAGGTGTACATCTTTGGCTTGCCTGGCACCAGGTACAGGTCTCCTGTCTGTTCCTCTGAGGACTCTCCAGACCCTATACCCTGCCCATCACTGACCACACAGTACTGGTTGTACACCTGGATACAGAACAATACCACAATGAAAGGGGAGTAAAAAGGTTTAAGGAGAGAAGGGGGTTTAAATAGGTTTAAGGAAGAAAGGGAGGCTTAAAATAGGGGGAGGGGAAGAGGGGTGGTGAATAGGGGTGAAATAGGTTTAAAGAAAGAAAGAAAGAAAGAAAGAAAGGGGTTAGAACAGGTTTAAGGAGGAAAGTGTGGGTCTTAATATTTTTATTTCCTATATATAAATGCATGTCTTTTCAATAAAATATCATGGTCAATTCAAATTTAATCTATATGATGAGACTACTCTACCTGGTTGTTTAAAAGCACAGACAACTTTGAAAATCTCATTGGGAATGGGCAGGTAGTTCTGAAATTAGAAAAATTGTCATCACTACATAAACTGCACTACATTGAGATCAAAGTTTAAGTTGAGATGGTACATAATTACAATCCATTAAAAAGATTATTCATTCTTTTCAAAATTTGAAAAAAAATTCTGCAAGACCAAAAAAATTTTAATAACTTACGCTTCATTTTAAAAATGAAGTAAACATAGCATTTCATATCACTTACTTTAAAAATATGTGCAGGACAATGGGAACATCTGCTGTGAATGTCTCCTCACTGAAAGCTGCTTTACACTCCACTAGGTGAAAAGAAAGGAGGTTAGAGGTGAAAAACCTGGTATACACCAACATTTCATAATACTCTATAAATATATTATTTGTGAATTATTTGAACTAGATCAAATGTATGACACATTAACTCATCAGCTTATCAATAAATAAAGAAATAGTTAAAACATTTTCAACAAAACAAAGCTGATATTAAAAAATATTTAATAAATCTCTTCTTTGCACAATCTTACCAAATGGAATAATGTTCTGCATCTCCACAGTAAACATGCACTGCTCCTGCTCCTTGGAGGCCTCACACTTCCACAAAGGTTTAGCTTTCTCTACACAGTCAGCATCACAGCCAGGTTCTGGCTCTGGAGGGTCACTCTGAAGATGGCAAACAAATAGAAGGGTTAACATTGTCATTATGATCTAAAAGCTCTGGGAATACAGCCTTAGAATCAGTTAGATTTTGGTGGTGATATATTAATCAATCAAGCAATTCATAACTATGAGAATGCACTAGCAGAGGTATGTGTGCTGTATGAGTGCTTTTCTAGTTATGTTCTAAAAGTTCAGCTCACCCAATATATCAAATGGGATACATGGGACATGATATTTTTATTTTAAAATAATTTGAAAAATGTCTTTTAGTTCCGAAAAACATGCATGAAAATGCTGTTCTTTTAGCATTCTCTAATGTTTACACATATTTTAATTTTTTTAAACTGCTCTTCAAAGAGAAAACTCATGAACACAGCAGTACTCACTGACATCACCCGGATCAGGTTCATCTGTATCCTAGTTTTCTCTTCTTTTGATAAGGGAATATCTTAGAGTTCACGTCAAGGTCTGATATCATATATAACAGCAACAAACAGTAACAATAAGTTAAGAAACGAGTAAGAATGAGGCTAAAAGACAGTTACTGTAATAGTACTCCCAATAATTTCTTACAAACATACAATAAGTTAGAGAATTTAAAACCAAAGCAAGAACTCTCCAACAAATAAAAAAATATTGAGCTGACTTGGACACAGAATAAAGGCAAATTCCAATTACAGCAACACCCGCAGAAAAATTATCACACTGAACAGGTTTGGTTCTATAATGGCTTTTACTTAAGTGAGAAGTAGTAATTTAAGAATGAAATTCTCCACTGATGATCAATCTGACAAATGATACTTCACATGACCAGAAGCCAGTCAATAAAATGGAACTATCTCTTCATTATAACATAATTATTTACATAATATTAGAATAATATAATAGAATGTAAAGCATTAATGATCAGTTATGAGATATCATATACACAAAATGAGAAGGATACATTTGCTGATCAACTCAAGGCATAAAGCGACATATTCTTCCACATTTCCCACCAGGTAGGCGCATCTGAAGTAAGAACAATAAAAAAAAATATTAAATGGTTGTCTGGGTTTTTGAAGCTATTTGAGTAAAACAATTAAAGAATACATAGATCTGTACAAGCTAATTGACAAATTGACTCCATCCTGAACATCACTTAAAACTCACAATACAAAATATGTTTGATGCATTCTGCTCTGCAACAGATGTAACAGAAATAGCTGAGATGAAAAGAAAACATCTTCATTATCTTTAGTGTCACTAGAGATATTTTAGTTACCACTAAACTTTAACAAATAATAATAAACAAAGTGTGAGTGAATGTACTTTATGCATATCTCTAAACTATGACAAAATGCATCTACTTTGAAATACAAAAACATAAAGCATGTGACCTGAATAAGGGTATCTTACCTGAGTGATGTGATCAAGATATTGGTGAGAAGCAGCCACCAGTGCTCAACACGGTAATCATATGTTACACGACTCAGCAACCTAGATAAAATACAAAACAATACCATTTTTAACACCATCTCATGAATATCTTCATTAAAGAAGGAGAACAGACATACAGTCACCACAAATCATTACTACTAAAATATATTTAACAATTGGAATTACTTCACCCAAATGTAGACAAAATTGGTCGAAGTTAAAGTAATACTTACGACAAAGCATTGGTATATTGTTTAGCATGATAATACTCTTCTCCCATCTGGACCACTGAAAAGAGATTCCATTTTAGCTATAGAATACTTGGAATGATTTTTGTAAGTAAGTTAAGTACTTTTTTCTCCAGAGTACATCAGAAAATATTGTTAAAGACAACACATTTGCAAAAAGCTGTACTTACTGAGATATCTCTTCATTCTTGGGGACTTGTATTTCTTAAACTGTGTGACAGCACTGCTCAATAGGGGAATAATTATCCACTGAAATGTCAGAATTGTTGAGTCTCAGTGCAATTTTCAATAACTTGTTTTTACAATTCACTAAGAAAAAGATAATTGCTTGCTTGGAACATGCAATTCAATATTATATCTAACAATTTTAAAATAACCTGTTTCAAAATCAATTTTAAATTCACCAACCAGGAATAACAAGAAGAGGTAACAAAACCACCTCCAGTATTCTTAACCCACCTCATGGTCCACTGTACTTTCCAGGTACTGCAGAGCAAGGATACCATCCTTTTCCTTGGCTGCATCTGGAGGGTCTATGCCTGGAAGGGAGAGTTCAATCTTTAACAAGATTTCAAAATGTTTCATATAAGGGGATGGTGTCCAAAGAATGGATCTTATAACTATTTTTGGTGTATTATATTGTTTGAGAAATTACGGATGGGGAGGTCTAGAGTAAAAAATTGTGAAGGATGATGTCTAAAGAATGGAACTTGTAATTTTTAGTAATATACTTTATGGGGGTCTAGAGTAATAATAAAAAGAAAATGACTCCAGTAATTAATGCTTACTCTGGTGTCCTTGCCTCCATGGTCTCTGGCCATAGTAATCAAGACTGCTCAAGCCTTCCAGTGGGTCAGGGGAAGGGTAGGTGATGTTGGGCTGAAGGAGACAAACAACAACTTAACATATTTTTCAGTGTATAATCGAAAAATGTTTGACTGAAAAATATTTTTTAGTTCACCTACACCTCAAAACATGAAAGACGCGGCATTATTGTTGTGGTTAGTACACTTAATTTTAGCTGTAGCTTGAAGAAACTATTAAGAGCATGATGAATTTTTTTTAAGGTTTCAACATGTACTTGAGAGAGCAAGGTAAAAAGTACTAACATGGCACAGCCCTCTACATAACTGTTTCCTTGATATAGAATGATTGGCAGCCTGCTGGTAGTAGAACCCTGGATGCTGGGTTTGAATGGCAGTGAGACCCAGCTTGATAGCTTCATCAAACAAGTCCCCAAATATCTGGAACCTGAAAAGTAATGTTTCTGTTGATACCAACTAATACTTTATTCATTTCCCAAAGTTACCAAATATTTGGAACCTGAAAAGTAAGGTTTCTTTTGAAACCAACTAATACTTTCTTCATTTCTGTGGTATCTCAATAATCAGGATTCCATTACACATTCCTAAAACACTAAATCTTAATAATCATGTTCATCTGTAACAACATAAAAAACTGCAGACTAATAATTCCGCTGAGTGCAGGGTATATTTTCACTCATGTTATTTCAATGTCTCCGTGGTACTTACTGTCTAGACATCCAAGCACTATGCTCAAATGACAATTCTCCAGTGCCAATCTTCTTCTTAAAGAAATCAATATGCTTTCTGAACTGACTGATGGCGTCCAGGGGTGCATTATGTTGGAAAGACAATCTGCAAATCTAATTACAGTGCAGAGTTTTCAAAAATTGATTATCACCTGCTGAAAGGGTTGTAATTGAGAACTGATATAATTGCTCTGGAAGCATTCCAGTTGCAAAACAAAATCAGGAACAATTTTAAGACAACCATCTTAGAGGAAATGAAGAATTACCAATATAACAATATTATAAATCACCTTCTATGTAAATTCTTAAACATTGTACTTTACGTATGTATGTACAATATACAATACAATACAATAAATATATATATTGTTTATAAATCACAATTAAGCTAAACTTTAAAATAATGATCAAAATGATAACAAACAGTATATTAACCTCACCTTTGTTCAGATCACATACCTTGTAATTAATAAATCCAGCAACTGTCTTTACTTCCAGCATATTGGTATTCAGCATCCTCAGTTCAAGAACATTCCCATAAGCCTGTTTATAGTGCCTGTGAACACACAATAATAACCCTAAATCAATTTCAGTGACAGAGAGAAATAGATGTGTATGTTATTAGACAAGCTGAACAAATTTTCTGCAAGCAAGATACAGTATCACACTACTTTGTCCTATTGATTAATACATATATCATCAAAACAATATACCAAAACTATAACAAGATTTTATTGAGAATAATGTTCAATATTATCAATAACAAAAGGTGCTCACTTGAGGGCTGTGTGAGTGTCCTGCTTCAGCTCATTAAAGAATGCTATTTTGAACTGATGTCTCACATATAATAGCTGAAAAATGAAAAAGAAAATTTTAATTAAAAATCAAAAATTGCTACAAACCGCAATAACATGATATGATGCCTAACATGTTTCTATTTAGCCCAGGGTTTGGCAAAAAAGGTGGAGGCCCAAAGGTAGAAAAAAATTAAGGAAGGGAGATACCGTACGCGCTATCCAAGTCCCCCCCCCTCCCCCCTGCCACAATATCTCTAGTCATTGGTTACACACTGATTATATACTGTTACATACGACATTTTGTCACACCAGTATCAATATAATGTATTACAAAATATTCACTGTTTACTGCTATGCCCATGATGACAGTGCTATGTCATGTCATGTTATACCTGGTGAGTAGTCTTATTCAGGAACTCTTTATGTGCTTTCACTCTCCTAGCCTCAGTGTGATAATAACTCTGGGCCTGTTCATAGAAGGCATTCTCCAGCCTAATCACATAGCCCAGCAGGTGGTCAGTGTTAGGGAGAACAAACAGGGACTTGGCAGACAGCTCACATGCACTGCAGAAAGAGGCTGCCCTCTCTGCTGCCACCATGTCTTCTCCTGGAGGGAGTGGAGCGTTCTTCTGGATCAGCACCACACATACTCTGGTGCTGCGGCCATCAAGACTATTCCTGAAGCAGAAAAAAATGTTATAATTCGTGAAATCCAGGAGCAGAAGGAGGCCGTCTTCTTGGTATTCCGGAAGACAACCAGAATATTCTAAGTTACACTGACAGGCATCTAATTTTTTCTGTTGGAAGACGGTCAAAAATGGAGGATGGATCAACAAAGATAATTTGGAAGACTGTCAGAAATATCTCTGGATCTGCCCCTGATATCTACTACCTGGATTAAAACATTCAATCAAAATAAAACTAAAAAGTCATTATGCCTTTACACTTAAATCATATAAATCAAATCAAATTGAGTAATGTCATAAATGTATTTTACAGCAACGTTGTCACTTATCAACTGTAGCACATATCTAAAAGATCCCTCCCTCAAATCACCTGACAATCTCAATTCTTGTAGCACATTCCATCTGCTTCTCTTTCCACAGTGGCTCATCCCAGTCCAGGTCAAAGAACACCACCACAACTGAGGGCACCTGGTCTAAGTGCTTGTTCATCCAGGCACTCTTCAGGATCCCCTTGGGAACATACCACTCGTATGTGGTCCTCTGGAAATTTACAGATATACCATGTCGTATCACTTTTAGCACTCTCTACAAGGTGTATATGGCCTTCATTTTGCTTATTCTGAGTCTAAATCTGATTTAAAATAGTCACCGATTCTCTAAATTAATCATAAAATACATGTAAATGCAAAGCATTAACAAGAACTATTAAGGCATTAATGAAAAGTGATAATGTTTAATTCAACATGTTTTAGACACCAACTACTGGGCTTTTTCTCGACTTAACTTTCTTTACAAAAACAAACACCAAATCAAGGATAAATTTGACAAAAAAATTGCTAAAATTTTACTGTCTTTAATTAAGAAGCAAAAAATAGAAAAAAAATTGAAAACAAAACTTACCTTAGTCCTGCACTTGGGGTAGTCATGGTCCAAGTTGAGCACCTTAAACTGCAGAGGAACCCTGTCAGCCCTTCTGTTATTACAAAAAGCATCCCAGATAGCTTTATGGACTGCATTGTAGGTGTTGTCCAACCCTGTTAGCACCACCAGCCCAAGTGGCCTACACAGCAGGTCTGGAGGAAGCTCACTTGCCCAAGACATCTACAAGAGAAATACGTGAATTGGTACTTGTAATTATATATTTATGCATTTATATAGCAACACTGGCAACAGTAACCAGTTGCAAAATGGCAATGCATGATGAATGCATGCATGGCACAGTGCAGCACTGTAAAAACACGAAAAAACACTAGGGTGCACAGCACTTCAACCAACTTACAACAGGTAATTATGACCTGTTAAAATAGGACGCCCCCCCCCTCCCCACCCCTTCTACATTTTTGCACATTTCATATAAACTCTAGGATGTTGTTATACAAAATATTCAGACGCAATATCTACCATGGAAAAAGGTTAAACAGGGAAGACTGCCTGTGTTAAAAAATAGAACTACCCCTTATAAAATGTTTTCGTTACCTTTCCTAATACATGTCCTGATGTTCTGCCTTCTGATTCAGGAAGTGGCTTTCACGGTGAATGCCGGGTAAATCCAAGATGGCCGCGCCCAGGTGAAGATAATCCACGCGAAACGTACAAGTCGTAATTCGTTTTATTCCTATTGCCATAATTACCCTGTGTGTTATCGAATTTGTAGCATGCTTTTATCACAACTGATTTGCTTTATACTAATAACCACATATCCCTTTGTTGTAATCCATCAGTCACAGTAGCTGGCTTTGACAAGGCCAGGTTGTTAATCCTCTGTCCGGCGGATTTAGTAATTTACATTTGTTCCCTGTTACGTAGAAGTAATCCTATCACAATTGTTATTGCTTATTCGCTAAGAGGAGATGGAAGATCTCATTATCTGCCAGTTAATTATGTGTACTGAAAACCATATTTCTCTTAGACAACCGCGAGATGACAATCCTACAGCTACTAGTTATTGTATGGTAATCAGTGATTTATATTTTCTCTCTTCAGGACTTCTTCGCTATTAGCAGCTAGGACCTGATTTAAAATGACAGCGAAAGAATTGCAGGAGGTAATATTCGGTTCCAAAGGTAGTGATTATTCTGCTTTAAATACTAGTACATGTATCAAAGATTGACACTCGGTATTATGTACTCTGTAAATGTCAGGCCATGATAGAGATATTTCTATAATTATTTGGTGTTAATTTATAATGGTCATTTTGCCTTACAGGAAGAAGTTGAAGTTTTAACATCTATTTATGATGGCGATGAATGTTTTAAAATAGCCAGTGAGACTTCCTTTCAATACAAGGTTTGTGGATTATAATTATTGTGATAGGTCTGATATGTAGTGCCAGTCTTATTTCATGCTTTTTCATGTGCTGAATTTTGATATCTAATTTGAAGACTTTTGTAGATTTTAATTTTCTTTCATAAATTATTTTCTATTGGAATTTTATTATTATTTTCATGATTTCCATCATTCAGTTCTTTTTTCACTCAGAAATATCCATTTGCACTTATAGATTGGAGAAGATGGAAGTTACAAATCATTTTTGCTGGAAATCAGTTGGCCTGAGAATTACCCAGAAGAACTGCCAAATATCAAGCTGGATACCTTTTATAATAAACACTTGTAAGTGGAGTAAAAATCCTAGTTTCCAAGACTGTCCTGTGGCATTTTGCTGAAGTTGTGCTCACAAAAAATAGTGGCATACATTTAAGAGGAAATAGGTGTCAGCTGTTAATACAAATAACAAACAAAATTCTAGATAAGTTCCTACAGATAGGATATCATTTGCTTTTTAGCAGTAAACGCCTCTGATTTAGAATTATATTGATGAAGTGTCCATTGTGAGATTTGTTTGTCTCATTTAAAGTATATATGTACAATTCAAAGCATGAAACATCCTCTCAGAGTAGTGAAATTACAAACCTCTCCTCCAAAAACTGTTTTTATTGACATATGATGGAACTTTAAGATGCAGAAAACATCCAGAGAGCACAAGTTTGGAAAACAGATAAATACATTAAACTGTATGCTTGAGAGAGAAAGCCATTTTGTTTTGCCTGAGAATATCTTAAACTGTGCATTTGACTCATAGTCTTAACTTTCATTTACTTTTTCAGGTTAGAGGATGTCAAAAAGAAAATAATAGCAAGACTCCTTGAGGAAGCAGAGCCTCTACTAGAGACTGCAATGACATACACCCTCATAGAATGTGCCAAGGAAAATGCAGAAGACTTGCTCATAGACCAGCCAAGTGCACCTCCTCAGGCTGCTAAGGAGATAAAAACTGAAGAAGAGACTCCTGAGCAAAGCTCAAAGAAAAAAGAAAAGAAAGAACAATTGACGAAAGCTCAGAAAAGACGAATGTTTGACAAACTTGACAACAGAGGAGAGAAGCCCAGGGGGTATGACTGGGTGGATGTAGTGAAACATCTTAGTCAAACTGGAAAACAGAAAGAAGAGTCTTAACTTCCAAAGATTATTAAATATTTATATTTTTGGTGCTCTGAGGCAGATATTTACTAATAAAAAGAAGCTTTTAGAAGATGTTTAATGCTCAAATAAACCATGCTGCACTATACTATATAAATCATTAAAAAAAGTCATACCCAATTTTGAGCACATGCACTGTTTTATTATAGCCATCTATGAAATAGACAATGCTTTTTTTCAGCATTATTCTTTGAGGTATGTTGCTACTACATTAGAGACTACTTGCAGGAGTCTAACAGTTTGCTTTCATACAAGAGATACATTGAAATATCATAATACATTGTCTAATGAATGAGTGCAATAAAATAAACCTCATCTGAACAGGAAGATGTCGCACAGATGTGTCATTTATAGCTGACATTCAGTTTGTTCTGTTCTGAGAACCAACGTGATCTTCAACTTGGGAAGCGTGGATTAAAAAAATTGAGTTCAATTTCTTAGCAACTGTAAGAGCCATTTCCTGTACAGACAATAAATGCATTTCATTAGTTTACAATTTTCACTAACAATTTGATCTAGAGATTATTTCCAGCACCACTAACATCCACTACAGCTTTAAAAATACAAACACCTCCACCAACATATAGAGTAAGATGAATACAGCCCTACCCAACACAACCTTATACAATCAACTGTCTAACTACCCTTTATATTAAGTAAACTGTTCTGTCACATGTACAGACTTGAAAATCTTAAACTTAGAGCAGCATCTCAACAATTATGCTAATTCTTACAGCTCTTGTGTATTATTCTCCAAATATTGCAAATTTCAGAGGTTTTCAATCAGCGCTGATATTTTCGATGTCTACTTGTCCTGCAACCTTTTCAATCCATACCTTAAAAACAATAGAACACCTCGAATCAAAGTACCTGATGTTGATGTTTCCTTCAAAAATCTACTGGAAGACCTGGTTGTCTATTGACCTTCCAGTCACTTATAACTAAATTGGAAATGATATAAAACATTGAATCAAACTTCAGGGACTGGTCAAACAATGATTCGTGAGTAGAAAATTGAGGAAAATTCAATTTGGCAGGAAAATCCTGGATAGAATAAATTGAAATTGACAATAAATTGATCACTAAATTATGAAGTGGAACAAAGGTTACAATAAATGCCACTTCTAACAAAAATCACTACAGCTTAACATTGTATTACATGTCTAGTTATAATAGCAGATATAAGAGTTATTATCACAATACATATGACAAATAATCAAAAGCACATTGGCAGGCAGGCAAAGTACTGGGCTAAAATGATATAATCACAATTTATGCCTTAAATATATCACTATTCTTGAATATATATAACTACCAGCAGTTGTATGAAAGCTATGAAGCCTGCACTTGTGTATTCATTGCAACTGCACATAAATAAAAACATATACAATGACAAAAAATCTCAAAATAAGTATTTGATTTCATTATCTTTCACAAGTTTAAGAATGAGTAGTTTCTGTATTTTTGGTCCACAACAATGTAAAGAGATAGTACAAGAGATATTTGGCAAAGTCGGATGAAAAAAGAAACTTGGTTTCTTTGGTATTATTCCCTTGGTCAATTTATATATGAAACATTAGATAAATCTGCATTGTTCAAAATCAAATGCATTTTTTGGTTATTAATAGTGTTTCAGTTCTTGATATGTGACAAACAAACAAATAAGCTAAATGAAAACTTCTAGAAAACATTTGGACAGGATCTTATGCTGCATTCATTATCACTTCTTGTCTTTTGCAGATCTCATAATATATCCAAGTTTTTTATGATTACTTCAAAGATCTAATCTGCAAGGACATTGGTCTAGATCACTTTCAGATAGTCAAAAAATACTACACACCGTGATACATATTTATGCCAAAACTGGGTGCCCAGTAATTAGTCCAAATGTTTGCTATTTAAAAGGTTTGCAAATGAAATTCTTTGTGTCTGCACCAAACATTTGGTTTGCAGAGGCACATCCCATTCCACCATATTGTTAAGAATGAGAGTTAAAACTTTATCCTGTTCCTAAGTAACAATCACCACTTGGCAGGTAGATTTAATGGAAAAAAGAAATTTCAATTTTCCAGGATGGTTTATTTTTGTATATGTCAACACAAGCATTTTTAAAGAAAAATATAATAGCAAAAACTCTGGCTATGCAAGCACAACCTATCCATTGGCAACTTGCAATTGGCAATACCCACATGATGCTGTCAACCATGTACTCTGGCCAAACACATCCCTGGTCAAATAAACCTGATACGTAATTTTACCCCAAGTCCACAGCTGTTATGACAGAGGAAGAGGGAAGATTGGGTCCATCTTCTAAATGAAGTTTTCCTTTGGACTTGAACAAATCCTGTCAAGAAATAACTTTAATTAAAACAGCCAACCAACCATAAACAAGACTGCTATTTAAAAATCTTCAGAAAAATTACTCAAAAACCTGATACTTACTTAAAATTAATTTCAGAAAAATGACACAAAAACCTGATGCTTACTTTAAATGAATTCTTCCCCAATGTGACTAACACTTAATCATTCTAAGAGTGAACAGACTTTACCTGCTGTGAGGATAACTTGTCCATTTCTTTCTTCAGTTTTTCAAGCATGGCATAATTTGGTTTGTTCACCTTGTTCTCTTCAAAATCCCTTGCTAGCTGAAGGACACTGTCTTCATGTTGCTATAAAAATAATCAATACAGTGGCATAATGTAAAAAAACATTTTTAAACTCATGTTTTCTTCATCCTGGTCCAGAAAAGGCAGATATTTTGTAAGTGTCAATTAGTTTGGAGTTCAAAATTCCCTCTGTGACAAATTTTCCTTCCTACAACAGCATAGTCAAGTTGCAAAGAAAATGAATTCAGGCACTAAGGATTTTTCTAAAAAGTCCAAAACACTTGAAATACAAATGTGAAATTTAGCAATGGAATACACGTACATTATGTACATGTACATTACAGTAACAATTCAAGAGTCAAAACACAAAATTTGAACAATTTATTTGATCACAGACTAAAGAATGCTACAATTTAAGCACAACCCTGTGCTGAAAGTTAATAATCAATTTACTTAATAATTTTCAGAACTCGGCACCTTATCCCCAGATGCAGTTATTCCCAACATAAAGTAAGTTGAGCCCATTTTACCATCCTGGTTTTAAAATATATTTCTCAGTGCTTCTGCTATTATCAGTGACCGCAATCAAAAGACAAGATAAAATTTTTGAAAACATAATATTATAACTTGAATAATTAATTCACAATTTTAATTACAAAACACAGGTAGAATTAGAGTCATTTCTGTGAAATAAAAAATTCATAACAAAGTTTGCCCCTTGAGCTACTAACAATAAATAATTAGGTTTTGATTACAATGGAACTTCAATAAATCTAACTGGAATGAACATCAATTAGTCAAACATCAAGAAAACAAACAAGTCATGATATTCCACTCATCTTATGAGTAAAATTTGATAACAAACTTGCAATTAACATCACGCATTTGATCAACAATAAAATCACTTTGGTCATGCAATTAGAAGTAGATTGAATGACAAAAATGGCATGCATCACTTCCAACATCCCTTTAAACAATTGCAAAACCTTAATAATATTTCACCTTCAACAACTAACATGAGACCCTATGCTCTTAGGGGAATAAAAAAACACAAAAAAGTTCAAATAAAATGCAATCTGCATTTCCTTGCAGATTACTGAACTTAACATGTGAATGTCAACATAAAGGCTTCTACTTTTGCCTAGAATGTCTACTCCCACTGGTGACATTCTGTGACCTTGGTGCAGCTAACTGATATTGAGAGAATGAGGCAGCATCTGCTGGTAAGTGGTAGAGGTTTTCACTGGGTGCTGCAGTCACAGCAGCTGCAGACAATGGCTGGGCAGTGTAGGGTACTGTTAACCCCACAGTGCTGGGCGTGATGGGGATACTGCTGGTGCCGTGGGGCCAGGGATAATGCAGATGGGCATCTTGACCACTCCCAGACCAGGTCTGTTGTTGGTAAGGGACAGCCTGAGAGCTTTCTGGGCTGGTCACTTCTCTGGCATAACAGCTGGCTTCGACCACATTAGGCTTTCCTGCTCCCATTACTTGAATGTCTTTTTCCTTTTGTTGAACCTGTATGTCTGGACTAGGGCGTGGCTGGTAGGGAGCATACCCCTGGGAACTAGGAGTGGTGGCCAGCATACAGGGCAGTCTGCTGGGATATCTGGTCATCCCTACACTTACTGGGTATCGAAACATGTGAGAGGCATATGGATTCATGGCATACCCTGCTGGGTTCAACTTGAAGGGTAATGGATTGTGCTGTATTACTGGACTGCTGCTTTTGGTGTTGCTCTGACTTCTTGGAGGTCTTGAACTTTCCCAGTTGTCATCCATACTACTGTAGGTACACTCTGGAAATTGTGTAGCCTTATGTATAGCTGGCTCAGACTTCCCAAGTGGTTTGTCTTGGCATTTCTGGCAGTCATTATTAGGATTGGTTCTGAGAAGAGAATTGGATTTCTGTAATCTGTTTTCTGGGTCATACACAACATCTGGGAACTGGGTGGCCTTGTGGAATGTGACGTTTCCAATAACTTCTGTTTGACTGGCAGCATGTATTAGTAATTGCGGACCTATGAAACCAAAGGTCTCCTCAATCTCATCATCTTCCTATCAAAAAGAATCAATTAAGAAATTTAAGTGAACCATATGTCCAAATTACGGAAGGTTTTTATATGAATATATACAGGATATATAAAACTTCCTTGATAAAACTTGTACAATTTTAACCAAGCTACAACACCTGCTTATTAAGCCTGTCAAAGTATGTTCATATTTCAATATGGAAATAAACATGTAAATAACATAATGCATAAAAAATTAGTTAATGATGGGTTAGAGTTAAACATACCAAACAATAATTATAAATCATTAAACACACAAAACCATAGTTATAAATGTTGTGGCATGCTTGGACAATGGGTTGCTTTTAAATCCAATCAACTGAGACACTGACCTTTTGTTGGGCCTTCCTGATATACTGTCTTCTCTATCTCATTTCCCATGAAGGAATAATGATGTAGCTGCCACGCCCACAGATATTTTATGTTTATCATAAACAGAGGTTAATCAGCGGTCAGTGTAAACAAGACGCAACTAAAAGCTTGAACTGAAGAGGTAAAGCAGCCTGACCATTCCAAGAGTGTCATTTTTCACTACTATCTTAATGCAGAGGAAAATTTTTCACATGGAATTATTTAGCAAATCTGTTGCAATATAGCCCTATGAGCCCATATTTAGCACTTTTAAAAATAATTCAAATTCATTTGGGGTTTCTTATTCATTGATGGCAGCTTACCTTTTTCTCTTCCATCACTTGTTTATCGCTGACAGAGTACAGGCGCAGGATGGAGCCCCAGTTGTAGACATAGGGGTGGAACAGCTTGAGAATGGACTGGGCAGCTAGTTGCTTCCCTTCACGTTTGTTCTTGCATGGCACCTGCATACATGACACACTGCTCTTAATATCTTCACCAACTTATGCCCAACACAACATCTGTTTAATGCTGAACTATATGCTTCGTGATGAGACATTATCACATGATGACTATATCTGAAAGTATTTGGACTACACATCATACTCACTGTTGCAGTGTGCTTTCCAACTGTCATGGTAAACTCTACTTTCTGGTGTTTCAGAGTATTCATGGTCATTTTTACTTTAGTATCACCCATACCTTGGTTCCTACACAAAATAAGAAATGGCAGTTATAGAACACAGGAATACTTTCACAATCGATCCTTAATGTTGGCTGACACTATTCTATTACAAACATAGGTCATGAAACTGGTGATGGAAATTGTTCATTTACAAAAAAGTAAGAAGATGAAGAAGATTAGATATACAGCTTACAGACCTGTTTGACAGCACAGCAAGTAAAACATTTAAGTATTTAAAAAGAAAAGGCTGTTTACCTATTGAGACAGACTAGTAGTATTTCATAGGGAGAGGGGTGGCCGGTTTTCTGACTTAGTTCATATACCCTGGGATCTTCGATGCGAATTTCATCATAAAACTGAAACAAAGTATATCACACACCAACCTTTTAATATAAAGTTCACTGAAAAATACAGGATCTCAACACTCCACCCAGGTCAGTTGCTTATGTAAGTTCCAATATCAGAGTTAAACATATATGTCTATGCCATATATAAATGTACAAGCAAAAAACATATCTCTGGTTTACTCACTGAAACATCTGAAAGCAGTGATTCTGAAGTAGATTCCTTTCTCCTCTGTAAATTTCTTCATCTCTGGTATCAAAACATTTAATGTTTCTTTGGCTGTAAGACAAACCATAAGCATATTCAATGGCATGAAAATTGAAAAGAGGTGTGTTCACATCAAATGCACAGAATGATAACAATGTGTAGTTTTATACATCTGGTAAAGAAAAATCTATAGGATGTAGAAAATCCAAGTATTAATGAAATCCATATTGTCTCAGTCACATAACAACTACTTCCATGTATAAAGACAATGTTGCTAACTGTCACAAAACAAAAAAAAAAATTTACCTGCATTAAGTTTTGCCTGTTTTTTGCTTTTGGCCAGTCCTGAGCCATATTCTATGTCATCAATAACCACAGTTGCTCGGTGGGGATTGGCAGAATTATCTGAAATTTTACAAAAAACCGATTTACTCACACCTGGAAAAAATTGACAAAACCCCCATGCTAAAATTCTTAAACAATATTTTGATCCATGGAATAGCATGCATTTAAAGACTACCCCTGAGTTATTAAAATTCTTTATCAAAAAAAAAAAGTATTATAATTCTGATCTTACCAATCTCCTGGAAGATGTATTTGGGCTGCAGTTTCATAGTGTGTTGCACATACTCCTGAAGAATGCACACATAGGATTTGCCATGAGGGCTGAGGACATATGCTGAAAACAAGAAAATGAGTTTGCCATTATAAATGCATTTTTTACCTTTTCTCTCTTTTTATAGCAAAGTTATTTTGTCAAAGACAATAAAAATTTCTTCTTCAAAACTGGTGCCATTGTTAGCGTTTCACAATTACCGTGTACATTTTGAGAAATAGTTACCTTTTGGTCTACTTGGTGCTCCACCACCAGCATCTTTGGCAATGTTAAGTGGACAGGTGATAAGTTTGGCACTTTCAGGCTGCACAATAAAACGGACACATGTAACAGACTTTGATATACAGGATTCCTTGATTACAGAAGAATAAGTTTAACCATATTACTTGGAAATAAAAAGTCGATTCAGAATACCATGTATTATAGCCTAATTCCAGAAGAGAAAGCATGAGCTTCTAAAAGAAAAATGCACAATAATTCTGCCAAGAAGTAGAATCTGTCAGATAAGACAGTCTGAAAGTTTGTACCATTGATGGCCTTGCTTCTTTCTTCTTCTGCTTCTGATGTTTTCTCCTGTCTTTCCAAGTCCTGGAATTGATATTCAGATGTTATCTATTTGAAGTTATAGGATAAATCATCTTTACTCTTCCAAGGATGTACAGACACAATCAATACCACCATAAAGGCAATTTCAAATGACTTATGTTATGTCTTTTATATTCATAAATGTTTGTATTCTTATAACACGAAGCAGTACTTACTTAAACCTTCTGACTGTAATGGTCTTAAACTGGAACAGTTTTTGACAATACTCATGCAGCTGTTTGTGGTCTATAAGAGAAATCATGTAGATATATAATTAATTGCACAAAGCCATAAAACGCCATAAAAAGTAGCATCATCAATTACAATACTAAATTTCACTCTCAACATTTCACACCCGAGTTTTTCTTGAAAACAAAAGACATAATCAAAGATCTTACCTAATATTGTTTCCTTTTTCTTTTCCTCAACACTCATCACTTTGACTGGGATGGAGGGAAGGTTGGGCGGACTAGTTCCATTGACTAGATTGGGTGTGCAGTTATCTTGGGAATCTGAAATAATCAAATGATTTTCATAGTAAATTATGATTTTATCATTAAGATGTCATATTTATATTTCAATCTTAAGTTACAGAATAACATACAGGCAGTAGTAATAATAAAATTGACAAAAAACCAAAAAAAATATCCAAAACTGAGATGCAGTGTGTAATAAAAATTTAAAGCACTTTTTACATAACATATCTGATAGTTTTCTCTTTGACAACATGTAGCCTTTTAACATACAATCTTCACTGCCATTTTGATCTTGTTTCATTGACTCCTTCTCCAACTCTTTCCTGTATTGCAGACAAGGGATGGCACTGACAGGGATGTCATGTTTCTGAAAATATAACTTCTGATTTCAGTGGTTTACTCATCCAATATGTCAGGGAACCAAAAAGATATCAGGCTAATTATAGTGCTCATGAGAAAAGAGTAAGCTGGCTCTTATACAAACTGCATCACAAGACACCAAATTAACTTCATTCATTCATTCATGCATGTTATTTGTTTTGTAGAAGAAAACCTATTCAAAAAAGTGTATGAAAAGAATGTTAAAATTGACCAAGACATAAATATGTCGCAGTTGTTTTCTTTCAGTTGTAAATGTGATGTGATGTTATACCCATAGTTAATTAGTCTTATGCCCTTTAAAAACCACGCAGTACAGCTTTCTGCTCCACTCTAGCTTTAGAGACTGACAACTCAATAGCCTGGATGTCATGCAAGTCACGTAAATGTAGCTCCATGCTAGATGTGTTCAGTTAACTAGATAAATTTTGATTAGTACAATGTTAGTACCAGTAAACTTGGCACAATACAAAATGCTGTAACACTCAGATGTGAAAAGGACCTTACCCTGGCACTCCCTGGCCCCAGGAAATATGGTTTGGCAAGAGTACACACTCTGGATTGCTTGTGAAGGTAGACTGGAATACCACTGTTGTGAGTGACTGTCACCCAGCCTTCTGGAAGCACCTCAAAAGGATCATGCCCCTTTTCTGTAATATTCACAAAATTCATATGAAGTTAAACCTTTGCAAAAAGAGCATTTTTAAGTCTTTTCTATTNTTGATGGCCTTGCTTCTTTCTTCTTCTGCTTCTGATGTTTTCTCCTGTCTTTCCAAGTCCTGGAATTGATATTCAGATGTTATCTATTTGAAGTTATAGGATAAATCATCTTTACTCTTCCAAGGATGTACAGACACAATCAATACCACCATAAAGGCAATTTCAAGTGACTTATGTTATGTCTTTTATATTCATAAATGTTTGTATTCTTATAACACGAAGCAGTACTTACTTAAACCTTCTGACTGTAATGGTCTTAAACTGGAACAGTTTTTGACAATACTCATGCAGCTGTTTGTGGTCTATAAGAGAAATCATGTAGATATATAATTAATTGCACAAAGCCATAAAACGCCATAAAAAGTAGCATCATCAATTACAATACTAAATTTCACTCTCAACATTTCACACCCGAGTTTTTCTTGAAAACAAAAGACATAATCAAAGATCTTACCTAATATTGTTTCCTTTTTCTTTTCCTCAACACTCATCACTTTGACTGGGATGGAGGGAAGGTTGGGCGGACTAGTTCCATTGACTAGATTGGGTGTGCAGTTATCTTGGGAATCTGAAATAATCAAATGATTTTCATAGTAAATTATGATTTTATCATTAAGATGTCATATTTATATTTCAATCTTAAGTTACAGAATAACATACAGGCAGTAGTAATAATAAAATTGACAAAAACCAAAAAAAATATCCAAAACTGAGATGCAGTGTGAAATAAAAATTTAAAGCACTTTTTACATAACATATCTGATAGTTTTCTCTTTGACAACATGTAGCCTTTTAACATACAATCTTCACTGCCATTTTGATCTTGTTTCATTGACTCCTTCTCCAACTCTTTCCTGTATTGCAGACAAGGGATGGCACTGACAGGGATGTCATGTTTCTGAAAATATAACTTCTGATTTCAGTGGTTTACTCATCCAATATGTCAGGGAACCAAAAAGATATCAGGCTAATTATAGTGCTCATGAGAAAAGAGTAAGCTGGCTCTTATACAAACTGCATCACAAGACACCAAATTAACTTCATTCATTCATTCATGCATGTTATTGGTTTTGTAGAAGAAAACCTATTCAAAAAAGTGTATGAAAAGAATGTTAAAATTGACCAAGACATAAATATGTCGCAGTTGTTTTCTTTCAGTTGTAAATGTGATGTGATGTTATACCCATAGTTAATTAGTCTTATGCCCTTTAAAAACCACGCAGTACAGCTTTCTGCTCCACTCTAGCTTTAGAGACTGACAACTCAATAGCCTGGATGTCATGCAAGTCACGTAAATGTAGCTCCATGCTAGATGTGTTCAGTTAACTAGATAAATTTTGATTAGTACAATGTTAGTACCAGTAAACTTGGCACAATACAAAATGCTGTAACACTCAGATGTGAAAAGGACCTTACCCTGGCACTCCCTGGCCCCAGGAAATATGGTTTGGCAAGAGTACACACTCTGGATTGCTTGTGAAGGTAGACTGGAATACCACTGTTGTGAGTGACTGTCACCCAGCCTTCTGGAAGCACCTCAAAAGGATCATGCCCCTTTTCTGTAATATTCACAAAATTCATATGAAGTTAAACCTTTGCAAAAAGAGCATTTTTAAGTCTTTTCTATTTAAGTCCCATTTAAATACACTCTGTTCATTAACACACAGTTTCTTAAAAATCAAAAGCAGTATGTCCACAACTTGATAAAAGCTAAACAGAGCCTCCATATTTGGCATAATTGGGAAGGGGATTTTCGTAACTTGTTCATATAATATTTGAGAGTCACCCTTTCTCTTGTCACTTACCTATCAGTACAACCTTCTCTTTTTCTTCAGGGGCACTTGGATCTGTCTCTGTGTCTACATCTCCATCCACATCAGCCTCAGAGGCAGAAGTATTTCTGGGCTTATCTAGGCACTCATCTAGCAGAGCATCTATGTCATCATCATCATAGTCATCCTCACTTTCATAGTATTCTTCTCTATCAGAGCCTAAATCATCTATAATTTCAAAAACTTGAGCATTGTGAGAAGAGGCCATGGTTTTCTCAATGTCTACTGGACTTTCTGGCCTGTGATTCTGGTCCTCAATGATCATAGAGATCTGTGAATCAGAGTCTACATCTTTGGAAGCTTGGCATTCTAATGAGAGATTTTTGGATGTTTCACATTCAATACTAACTAAGTCTGGTCCTGTAGAGAATTGATCATTGTTACTAGAGATTCCGCTTTGGCTGTCTAGTTTACGTTTTTTAAAGGCAGGTTCTTGGTCCCTCTCCACCTTGGGTTGCATATTACCACCTTCACCATGGCCAAAGTCCAATACATGAGAAATGTGATTGGACGATTGCTCTGATGCTGGTGGTAAAGTTGGTGGCTGCGCGTCTTTCTGCTCCTTACTCATGGTTCAGCATAGACATGTCTTTGTCTGAAATACACACTCCTATATACAATTTGTATTCTGACAAAAATCCTGCTTGTCTGCCAGTCAGATTTGTTCCAAACGAGGACTCAAATGCACTGTTCAAGTACTAATAAAGAAAAAGATCAAATATTCACTTTTAACTTCATTAGTATCAATCTCAGTGCTTTTGAGAACAGGCTATTGTTAAAAAATGTTGAAACTAACTATTTACTTACAGTGAAGTTGTAAATGCCAAGAACATAAGAAAGCAATAGAACAGAAAACGATGCTAGAAAGTACAAGGGGTGACTGCTTTCTTCCCAAGTTTTTGTGAAGACAGCACCAGAGCTTCCTTTCAACAGGAATAAAAAAAATTGTTCAGGCATGTTATCTATGTGAACTTGAAAGTGCATCATTTTATTAAATCATGATAAAGGCAATATGGCTGTTAAGGGTAAACTTGAACAGGGTAAATATATAAACCATTATTTTCAACGCTTAATTTTCATTTCAATCGGCGGAACTGACACTCACTCCACTTCATTCGAAGATTACACGGCATATGTTAGTTTTTCTCTTCTAACGGCACTTCCATCTGAAATACAGAACAAACATAAATTAGAAAATACAAGTAGCAACAGCGTCTGGTTGACACTGAAGTCTGCTGTCAGCGAGGTCAAGAATAAAAAGTTGCAAGTCACATCTCATTGTTACAAAATCATCTCCATTTATCTGTAAGATGAGTTACGCAATGTGAACTGGTAGTATTATTCTCTTGTTTTAAGAAGCAATCAGAACACAGGTCGAATACAAAAGCTAAAAACCTGCAGTTTTTGACTGGTACTTCTGGAACAAGAAACATGGCGAATCCGAAGCTAAACTTTATGTATATATTATTATCGAAAGAAATACCTATAAGTTACATCCATTTAACATGTAAAAGTACAAAAAATTCCGTTTATCATAGTATAATAAACATTTTAATTTCAATTATTTCCTGTGATTATATTTCTATATGCGTTCACGTAATATAATTATTCCTCGAAACTAAACCCTTATAAAAATACTGGCTTTGCTTTTGGAACACATGGCTAAGGCAGTGGAGAAATGTAAATGTCTGGTGTTATGTATATGACGTATGAACGGTTTTAGATGTTTATCTCTGACATACTACAAAACATTTGTTAGGGCGTTGAAAACCTACTTGCAAGTTTCAGAATCAAGCGATTCAAACAAATATCTTGTGTCGGCTCTGAGCATACATACACAACAGCTAGGTAATCTAGACTCTAGTAGACTAGACTGCATTGGGGAGTACTGGTACATAAAGACTTATAAGTTAATGTGCCTGGAAATAGAATAAATGCGAAATAATGATAATAATAATGATGATGATGATAATAATGATAATAATGATAATAATTATTATTATTTAAATGGTAAAGATAACAAAACTTTTAACTTAAGCTTGGTTTAACTTGAGGTTATACTTTCAAAAGTAAGCAGTTTGTTAAATGATGATGATGTGATAATACGCTGTATATAACATACACACTTCTTTCCCACCATATACTCACTAGCATATGATCATTACCAGGAGGGTAATATTTGGGTGTTCGTTATTCTGAATGATTATTGCCATTGAAAATTTAGAACATTTAAATGTTTTATATAACGAAGATATTTCTTCTTGTTGTTCTCCTCTTCTTGCCTCTTTACATTATTTATTAAATGCTCTGTATTTCATTTTAGCCATGAGCAGAAAGCAGTTAGATGAGGTAATACCCTTCCTGTCACACAAGTCAAGGGGGGATGTAAAGGCAATAGCCATAGACTATGTGACAGGTCTTACAGGGACATCAGAAGGAAGAACTCTGCTGTGTAGCAGAGACGTGTACTTGGAGGCAGTTGCAGGTTTACTGCAAGATGACATCCAAAGCATATCAAAACAGGCATACAAAGCCCTGGTGAATCTAACTGCAGAAGATTTGGTGTGTCCGAAGCTGCTGTCTCTGAAGACAAAACCCAATCTTCTCCAGGAGCTTATGAAATATGTTTGTAATCCTGAAAGTGAACTTGCTGACGAAGCATGTATGTTGTTAAGCAATTTGTCCAGACCATTAGATTGTGCCAAGAAAATGGTGGAAGTGATTCAGAAGGAAAAGGAGACACTTGGGTTTGACAAACTAATACAGGTCTTCTGTACTGAGGGATACAACCCCAAAGCAAAACTACATCATCTGGGTGAGGGCAATTTTCGTGTTGTGCATACATAGAAATTGTGTAATAAAGAAATCTATGAAGATAATGAAAAGTCTACTGTCCAAGTAATATATCGTATCTTTGAATTAAAATTTGATAAACTGACATTTGTTGCAGCATTTGTTATTTATTAACTCAGAATTTTACATGCACTTTCAATGTATTATTGTTATAAAACGTGAACCCTCTTTTACCTCATTAGGTCCATTCCTGTGTAATCTGACCCAGATTCCCGAGGCTCGCCAGTTCATTCTCAATAAAGATGGCTGTGTCATCCAGAGACTGCTTCCATACACGCAGTATCCTGAGTCGGTAGTTAGACGCAGAGGAATTGTAGCTACACTTAAAAATTGCAGTTTTGAAACTGGTAAGATTTTATTTGATGAAATCTTATTATTTAAGAAAATTTGTTTTAGCATGTGTTTTGTATCAGATAAAAATTTGAACCAATCATTTATTTCATTTTATGATGTATAATTTCTGATGTAATCAGACAGTCACTTAAAGTAAAAAAAAGTTACTAGTAACTGTATTTGAAGTAATTACATTTCTCTCATTCAGATAATCACCAGTGGTTGTTAAGTCCTCAAGTAGATCTCCTCCCCCACCTTCTCCTCCCCCTGGCTGGTCCAGAGGAGTTTGATGAGGAGGACAATGACAAGTTACCAGTGGAGCTGCAATACCTGGAACCCACCAAGACTAGAGAACCAGAGCCAGATATCAGGGTCATGTTAATAGAGGCTGTCCACCAGGTGATACTGGTCACTGATAACTAAGTAGTGTGATTAAAATATCTGTTGAGTGACTTCATTTTTATTATGACTCTCATTGAGATGGGATAACACAAATAAGATCAGAAAATCAGTGTGATGTGATTGCTGCTCATTGATTTTAAAGCTAAACTATACAGGTAGTACCCAATTTGTAGGTTTTGGATGAACCACAGCCAGGTATTTCTGAAGTCCTGAATAACTGATTTATTTGCATTTATAGCTCTGTGAACTAAAGAAGCAGTGCCCAGTGTGTATTAATAGGTCAAGCACCATCAGGTATTTCTGAAGACCTGAATAACTTAATTTTTATAATTTTTTCATAGCTCTGTGCAACAAAAGAAGGCAGGGAGTACCTTAAAGACAAAAATGCATACATCATACTGCGAGAATTGCACAACTGGGAAAAGAATGAAGCAGTAATAGAAGCATGTGAAGATGTAGTGTCTATACTGATTGGTGATGAGCCAGCACCAGAGCATGCAAACCTCAAAGAAGTTGAAATTCCAGCAGACATTCAAGAAAAATTGAACAAAGCTAGCAGAGTTGCAAAGGATGCAGGGGGAGATGCAAAGGACAGCTAATTTTTTAAAATTTCTCTTGTAGGGAAGAGGAATGTCTTTCCATTCAACTCAAAGAAATGGGTGCATGCAGTGCAATTTAAACAACTTTCTATTTGGGGCATGTAGGTGAAGTGTGGAAATGCAGATGTTGGGAAATATTGACCCTCTGCAGGAGTTTATTGATATCTTTCTTTACCCGATACATGCCACAGTAGCATGATCTATTCACAACAGAGTGATCCATTTATTTGATGCCTTAAAAATATATCAAGTACTGATTTTTTCAGTGGTGCTCAATTAAAAAACTTCTGTGTACTTCTTTTGTTCAAAGTTTCATAAGTCAAAGTCTGCAAACTTTAATGGTTTTTATACAGAGTAATTGTTTATTTAGGAGGTCAACTTTATATATTGATTATCAAAGAAATTTTTCAAGTTTTGCAGTGATCTTCCAACTGCAAGGTACACATTTTGTGCCTGGCTTTGAGCAGAGGGGAACTGCAAACCAGTCTGAAGGGGATGGAAGCAGTTTTATAAAAAATAACAAATGCAACTGGCAGTTTTATTTTATTTTATTTGGTTACACAGAAAATAAATTGGTGTAAATAAATATAATATGTTTATTAAAATGTTATTTTGTTTTAACTTAATACAAAAACTTAAAACTTGAAATGCAAAATTATTTGCACATTTTTGTTCACTTGGTATACTGGCAGATGAGAAAAGACATTCAGAATACTATCAACATTTCCTTTCACAATAAATTAAATGATATAAATAGCATTATTATGATTTTATATCTGGAAATGCGAGTCCTGAGAAAATGCAAAACTGAACAATGAAGACGTCACCATACATGACAATCTAAAAAAAAAGGAAATGTCAATCAGACATCAAAAATATACAGCTTCTGGTATAATCTTGAAACATCAACCTCAACCAAAGTCATTAATTGTATAAAGATTTTTTCTTTTGCCCTTGATATAGTTTATTGTGACATAGCTCCTCATGTATTGGCATAGCTGGCCTCCTCACAGACTGCCTTCATCTGTCTGGTACTGAGGTTATCTGGCATATGTAAGAAGAGTAAAGGAAATTTAAAATAAAAACCTTTCGGAATTGGGTCATGCTCAGTTCACATAGAAACACTTAGCCAGCAGAATAACCCCAAAGTTACATTTATCAATATCTTCGACAAATACAACTACAGCATTTTTGTCAAAAAGGATATTTCCTCTGGGTTCAATATCTGGATCAATTTCTGTAAAGGCTGATACTTCTTTAGAGTGGAAACACTGCCCACAAAGAGAAGCTTGTGTTTTGCTCTTGTCACAGCAACATTCAGTCTTCTCCAGTCACAAAGTATCTCTGTTCCACCCTGAAAAGACAGTTGTAAACTTAGCTTAAGTTTTACTCCTTTTTGGGGTAATTTACATACAACACCATGGCATATACAGATGCAATGACCTGCACTCATAAGACCAAATTGTTTCTTCTAATTATTTTCTTTCTCATTGTGTGAATGAGTGTGTGGAAGGCATCTTTGCCTATCATCGTGTATCAAATCTCTTGCATTGACCTTGTGTATGAAATTTGATTAAAAAAAAGACCAAATTGTGCTGTGCATTAAACAAACCCTTCTTAAAAAAGAAAAATGCCTATTTATTAGGAGAAGTTTGCCTACCCTGCCTTTACTGCTGGAATCATCCTTGGAATTACTCCTGACAAAGGAGAGGATGATGACACTCTTGTCTCTGCCTTGGTATTGATCCACCGTGTTCACCTCCACCTCTCCAGAGCCACCAAGACGAGTGTGAAGGACTTTCACCTGGTTTCTGTATGGGGCTATGATGCCAAGCTCTTGTGGGGATAACCCACCCTACATAAATATATATTTCACAATGTGAACTTTTTAAATATCATTACATGCTAATGTTAAAAGAACTTTGTCATCTAAAAACTGTATATAAATCACAACATTACAAATCAAAGTAATTTTTCTGAGGGGGGGGTTTACTTATTACATACAAATGTTTTATCTTTATTTGCAAATTATATGAAAGAAGCAAGAAAGGAAGATTAAGTAAAATATTAACTTGCTTACCCTTTTGTTTCAACCCCACTTTTCTTTAATTTTGATGTAAGATTATGAAATCTGTATATTACTTACCCTAAGAAAACACTTGGCTAATTGGCAAACAATTTCTGCCTCTAAATCATTCTTCACCAATCCCTGAGCATCATAACTTTCTGTAGCTGATATCTGTGAGATATATAGATATATATATATATATATATATATATATATATATATATTGTGAATGAGACTTGACCTATGAAATCTCTCTCCATACATGTGAATGAGGTTCTGAGGAGCATTAACCTTTTACATGGCACTAGATAAATCAATCTACATTATTTGACCTTGAAAAATATATGAAAGTTATAAGTTTACACAAATTCAAATATTCAGAATATTTCTGCTTGTTTAAAAGGTGTCTAATCACAAGAATTTACTTACATTATCTGTATCCAAGAAAAGAACAGGCTGCGGGCTCAATGCACATTCCAGCCAGGCAGGCATCATGCCACTCAGCTAAATGGATTACAAATATAATGGTTACTGTGAAATATCTTATAGCACATATACAGTTTATACAAAATTCCAGTTGTTCAGCAAAATAAATGTATAAAATACTGAAATACTTTTAACAAATGTAACATACAAAGAGTCTTAAGAGTATGTTTTAATAAGCATGACAAGAAAGATTTTTATAAGTTTATAAATGGTGTTTCCATTCTCATCCAAATCTTCACTTATCAAAAGCATTAGCTGCAGTTATTTTGTAAAACATCTTTTTGTTGCATTTTTGACAAAATTTAACCTCTAAGTATTCTTAATTCAACAAGGCACATTCTTATCCACCATTGTTTTAGTTTAAAGTTGTCTTCTACTTACCTCTGCTCTCACATCCTCCATGTTGGACAGCTGGAGACGGGCCTCTGCCACGTCCTGAGAACCACATTTCAATGCTCCCTCATACACCAGCTCATTACTCAGACGCATTATTGAACTACTCAACACAAGGAGAAAACAGTATAAGAGTAATAAGAAGTTCATTACTGAGTCAAACAAAGACATAGCCCATTTTTACCTATAAAATATATATTTTGTACTTTATGACTGAAAGAACTATTTATTCTATTGGTTGGTCACAAGAGATTCCAAACATTCAGCATTCCTCACCTGTTCATTCTGTACTGCAGATTGAGCTCATATGTGGCTCCAGTATTGTCCAACCTCATGAACAAACTCTCATCCATTCCTAACTCTCTGCAAGCAAATCGTGTTTCAGTACTTAAGATGAGGACCATATATATCCTCAAACTACAGATATGCTTAAAGACAGTCCATTTCTCCAAAAATATTTTTTTAAATAATGAGATAATCCAAATGGTCTTTTACATTGAAATCTACTGATAAATTTTAATGGATGTATCATGAGCTAACTTTAATTCAAGAACAACCTGAACCAATGACTGTAATTAGTAAAGGCTAAATATGAAAAAAAAATGTTAGCTCTCAGGCCCGTAGCCAGGGGGGGTTCGGGGGGTTCAAAAGAACCGCCCCTTTTGCTGGGAAAAGGTCCACTCTGAGTAAAATTTGATCTAGGTACATGTAGTTCTTATGGGAAAAGGTCCACTTTTTCAGAAAAAGAACCCACCTTTTGAAATTGCTGGCTACAGGCCTGGCTCTTCAAAAATGAAAAAAAAGGAGAGAGAGAGACTTGGGGAGATGCCATTTTCTACTCTGTAGCTAAATTAGAATTAATTTTGGTGGTATGTTGGCACAAAAAATGGGTGATAACCACCTTGTGTGTGATCTTCTCAGTGGACATTATCTTACCTTGCTTCTGTACTTTGTACCACAGGTGGCAGCTGTTTAGGATCCCCCACCAGCACAAACTTGGCAGCACAGGACAGGGGTCCAAAGCAGGTGGGCTGAAGGACCTGGGACGCCTCATCTATGATACAGATGTCAAACCTGCGCTTTGTGAACAACACGTGGTTGGTCCCCAAACAGGTGGTTGCCACAATTTGCTGTTAAGTAATATAGATCAAAGATGAAGATTAAGAAAACTGATCTGTATCTTGTTTACTATGAGGTTACATATATGTTTGAAGAAACGAATCATTAAATACTCTACACCAGATTTCAAACAACATCCTACTCTTTAACAAGGAAAAATCTAGGCATCCTAAATGCTCGATAATAAAAAAAATATTTTCATATAAGAGCTTAATCACCATACCTTAGCTGTGTAAAATTCTGCTAGATCTCCAACAGTTTTGATGTTCTTTGTGAGAGTACCTTCAGAATATGGCAAGATTTCTGGATGTATCCTGGACTCTCGACCAAGTCTCAAAAATTCCAGATCAAGCTTGAAAATGAAATATAATTTAACTAAATAATCAAAAAGTCTGTCATGAAAATAAACACAAAATGATGTTTCACTGTTGTTCAAATGTTTTATCACAGTTACATTCAAGACTACATCGAAACCTCAACAAATGAAAAAAAAATGAAACATAAAGTCAATTTTTAAAGTTTTTTACCCTGCAGACTGTTTTACCTTTTTCAGTTTCAGCAGTATGTTATCCACAGCAGAATGAGTGTAACTTGTTAGGAGGATGGAAAGTCCCAACTGGTGCAGAATACGAACAAGAGCAACAATTGTGGATGTTTTTCCTGTAATAAAAAGTTTCAATATTTCAGCACATTTAGATTCAACAGTATTGCACAATTCCAATTATTATAGATGGAAAACTGTATGACTTAAAAATCAATTGCAATGAGGTTTTAAGAATGTAATATAAATACCTGTGCCAGGATAGCCTTTCATTAACACATAGTCTTTGCACATGAGGATCTAAAAATAAAAATAGACAACAAAATTTAATATTGCCATGCTGCTCTTTTTCATCAAGGACACTTTTAGAACCTTTTAACTTTTGTATATGTGAAGCATAAAATTTTCACTTATTTATTCACTCATTTTCTAACAGATGCTCAATTCAGCTATCATTTTTACAAAACTTACCTTTAATATGGCAGTTTTCTGTGGCTTGTTGAGTGACTTGAAGATATGTTTCACTGTAAGAAAATATTCAATTTTAAAACAATAAAAGTAAGAAAGCATGAAAAATTTGCTGGTGTAACGTACCATTGCCATGCAATAATGGTTCACATGCTACATGATTCACTGCTTAGCTGGGGGCAATATTGTACAGAAATATAGATGAATTTTGTTGAACAATATCTTTTACCAAAACTAATATTAAAATATAAACAAAATGCATAAACAAAGTCCTAAAGAAATTGTGAATACCTTTTTCTATTGCTCCTTTAGCTAATGTTAGTTCAAACTCGGGCTTCCTAGCATCAATGATCAGCTCCCTAAGTCTCAAACTAAAATAAAAAGGTCAAAGTTGAAATCCCAAAAATTTATGATAAAAGCAAATAAATGATTGTGTCCTGTATTTCTGACCTATCCTGTAAATTTAAAACCGTGAGTAAAAATTAAAAAAAATTCTGGATCAATTCAAATTTTATTTCCACGAGAAATTATATATATTCATCTTAAACTGTCAAACAAACTCTTGACATGATTAATAACGGCTGAAAAACAAACTCTTACCTGTGTGGGTTATCTGACAAAAGTTTGGAAAGATTTGTGTAATTAGATGCCATGGAGTTGAAGGAGTCATTTTTATCCAGTCGGTAAACAGCATCACTGTTTAAATTGGTATTCTGCAGATTCCTGAATAATTAAGACAAATTCAAAATAGTTATAACCTGTCTTTCAAAAAGTGTGACAATTCATGAAAAATTATTTCTGAAAAAATATTGTTATAAATTTCTATCAGCAGAACAAGAAAGACAAATGAAAATTTACACCAACTGTTGTTAAGACATTTTCAATATAACACATCTAAGGGAAATGGTAAAAGTACAACCACCACACTGTCTCACCTAACACAATGTGATTATTAAAACACTACCTGTCAAGTATCACAGTGATCTCTGTCTGTGTCACCTGGACCACAGAGGCAGTGCAGAGGGCAATGTGTCCACTAACACAATGTGATATTATTAAAACACTACCTGTCAAGTATCACAGTGATCTCTGTTTGTGTCACCTGGACCACAGAGGCAGTGCAGAGGGCAATGTGTCCACTTGTCTGGCCACTCACTACCAAGGAATCTCCCTTACTAAATCCTGCTAGGGATATCTTGGGGCTTCTGAAAAAGAGAAGTGTCATAAATACTTGTTTAAGGTGGTGTTATTTTCTTTACCTACTTAAACTGCATTAAAATGGTAGTGTACAATTTTATATCATATTTTTGCTCAGTATGAAATGTTATTTAAGGTGATACACTCAAATGATATTTTTATATCCTCAAACTGCAGTATAACAATATCCAAAACTTTTTTCTGTACAAGTTGTTATCACATTAGTTGCATAATGTTTGGACACATCTTGTGAAAGAATTCTTCACTGATATACTAAAACATCTTATTTTTTTTAAAACAAAGTTTTCTTAATTCACTCACTGCTTAGAAGGTTGTTTGTGAAATGTGTGAATAAATGAACCATTATCCAAAGCTAGTACTGCATCATGTCTATCCATCAAAACCATGTCACTAAGGCAATTCCCTTCCTTCTCTCTGCAAACCAGTATTCAAAATTGTGATTAAAAAGTGACCAGGGTTGGGTCAGGCTTTATTATACGGGTCCTTAAATTCTATTTTCAATTCTTAAAATACACAAGTATAGCTGAAGGCATTAACAGTAAGCTATCCCTTCAAATCACTTCGACACTTATTCTTTCTTTACAAACAAATGACCACAACTGTATTAGTCTCATACTTCTGTGTGAGCTACGCTGCCTTCACCTTTGTTCAGCGCTTTTACACCAAATGTCTTTGAGAGATTTGTAGCTTTCTTTAGCTTCCAGTTCTTGCAGCAGACACCAGTGTGAGAAGTACTCCAGGTGGCTCTGGTGTAGGTGTGCCAGGGTGGCTGGGATCAGGCTTGTCATGGCATGGTCGTCTGGGAGATCATGGTGATCTATGGACCTATTTTTGACATTTTTGGCATGTAATATAATTAACAATTATTGAAATCTATAACATTTGTTCACTGTCAACATAAGTTAAACTTTGATTGGAAAAGGGGTGATAACATTTATCAATCTCAGCTACAATGATGTATCTATACACCAATCAAATATAAACTGTACATATTTGTGAAATAATACACAAATACATGTATGGACTCTCAACACAGTTTCCTTATCCAAGTGCAGATCTTGCCCATATTACATAACAGCAAAAAAAGGTAACTTTTTCATTTTCTAAAAATTGCCTAAAACCCCATATAAATGCATGAAATCACACACAGTCTTACCTCTGGTAGACAGCACAGTTCAGAAGCTGTGGACACTTGGAGCATGACCTGGGGTTGTTAATAGGACGAGGTAGTTTGGGGAGGTGGTAGGTTGTACCACTTTCACTTTCAACCTTCTCTGTATTTAGACTAAGGTAGTGAACTAGTTCATTTCTCAGCTGAAGGAGACCTAAATTATAAAATGTGTTATTGACATACAGTCATAATTAGGTGTGCATTATGGATGTTTATACACAATAATTACTATCATATATCAAAATGTGACAACAAGCTTATATTGAACTAAAGGTGAAATGCATGTGATTCCCCACAGAGCAGTTCTTCATAGCGCTTCAATTATTACTGCTCAATATACTAAACTAATAAACAAAAAATCAAAATCACATTTGACTTAATACATGTACATAAAACCTAACTGTTCATAATCCAAACACAAAATGGCACATGCTGTGTGATATAAATCCTCCCTCACCTCTCTTCTTGGCATAGTCTGCTGTAATAGTCTTCATGCTGCCATCCTTCAAGTAGAGCAGCAGTCCTCCCCCAGGATCCTCTCTCCTGTCTGAACTCATCAGGGAATACAATGTAACCTGACCACAAGGCAAGTAGTTGTTATTAAGAAATTAACTATAATAGACTGGGTTCCCATACCTGGATCGATCTACCAGGATCGATCCATCTCCAAGGGGTTTCTTGCTAAATTGCCTTCAGCTTAAGTGGCTTATATGTCTGCACGCCTACTTAAGCTGCTAAACAATAGTTAATTACCCCTAACAGCTTCAGTAGGCGTGCCAGATATATAAGCCGCTTAAGTTGATTGCAATTTAGCCAAAATCCTCTTGGGGACAGATTGATCTACATTTAGTATGACAGGGTCTGGGAATGGTCCCATAGACTGCATAAACTTGTCACTTTATAACTTGTATTTTCTCAAAAAAAAAGTTTTTTTCCTGCTATCAGAGAAATAAAACCTTACTCACGTCTTCTCATTAACTACACAAGTTTTCCTGTCCAGGTGTTCTGGTTATGTGCAGTTTACAGTTATCAAAAGGTGTGAGTTTTGTTAATATGAAGTGAATCTTGAATTAAAAATGGCATGCAGCAAATTCAGGGGTGAGGGTTTATTTTTTTTACTGCTTAAACCTTGAACAATACAATCTTTTCATCAATTATGACAAGGAAATATAAAATAATGAATGAAGAAAAACACAATTGATTGATAATGCAGACGAGCTACCTTTAATCTATGCCAACTGTAAACTGCTTATTTATTCGAGCACAATATGGTATATGTTGATCAATATAAATGCTTTATTTCTCACTTCTCTTACTGGCATTCTCTGCTGTAAGATTAAGTAATAAGACTTTTTTCAAAAGCGAGTCATTAAGACTTCATTGCAACTTGTAAGTCCAATAATATATTTAATAACTTTTCTTATAAATACAACTGAATGGATATTCTATTCAGTATTACCTGCCCTTGGTGTTCTATTGAAAAGGATGGTTTCCCAGTCTTCAGTTCTAATGGCATCACCTTCTCACATTTCTGTTTGCCATTTATCTGCTGCAAGATAAAGAAATTACTAAGTTCCCAAATGACTTGTGACTTCTGCCACTCATATAAGGCTTTACCATTTAAGTTAAGATCAACAGCTAAAAGTACAGTAGCTTAAGATCAACAGCCAAAAGTACAGTAGCTAAAAGTACCAGTCTTTCTTAATCTAATAATTTACGCCATGCATTCTGCAAAAATAAACACTTTTAAAAGAAAAAAATGCCTTTTACCTTTACTTGCACTGTCAAATCAATTTTGCCTTTAACCCCATATCTGAAATTTATTGAAGTCAGGACAGAGTGAGCAATCTATAACTATCTATGAAAAATAAAATTTGAACAAACAAATGCTGACAATTCACTTTAATTCATCAATTATTCTACTCCAGTTTCAAAGCCAGTTTTCTCATTTCATACCTTGGAGACCAGATGTTTTCTTCAATGTCCATCACTTTGGTAACATGGAGATCAGAGGTGGACGGTCTGGTGTGAGAAGTGAAATCAAAAATATAAAATATGCTTAGCCTTTTCAAAAATGTAACTTACACAGGCCATCTTCTATAAAATAAATTGTATACTGGTAAAATAATTGCATCAGTTGCTTTGAAATAACAGCATGCAAAATTCATGCAGTTCAGCAAAATGGCATGGAAAAATTACAAGGACTTTCATATTTAATATTAGAATTAATGCTTGCTTAGACGTGTATAACCTTGACTCCACTGTAATTAAAAGAACAACATACTCTTACCTTGCACCAAAACTATGTACCGGTGGAGGCATGTATTTCTCAGTCCACGCCAACATAGGAGGAATATATTTATCTATCTCAGCCCTCACCACTGCCTCTGTGGCATCTTGTCCATACCTTGTATAGACGGATAAATTTTCTAATCATTAAAAAATTATCATAAAATCATCATTTGTTTTAATTCAAGATTATCACAAAAAAATATATATATAAAATAAAAAAATACAAACTTAAGTTATTTTCATATGAAAAAAATGAAATTATATTAAAATGAAAAATATATTTAACTAATTTGAAAAAGAAATAAATGTTGGACTGGTAAATTTTCAAAAAGACAAACAATTATCACATTAACATAAAGTGCTAAATCCAAAGTAATCCCATGTATATAATCAAGAAAAAAATGTCAGTGACTCATCAATGAATTCTGGATATGTTTGAACATACATTTCAATGAGGAATTTCTTTTGCTGAAGAATTTCCTTCACAATGGCCTCCACCTTGTCTTTGCTGAATGCCCTCTGCTGAACCACAGCCTGGAACAAGGCATGGATGATGCTCCCATGGAGCATGGCCATATTGCCAGTGTCACAGCCCTGGAATGAATGAAAAATTGTTTATTAAAGTACATGAGAGATATTCTTACTGGTCAACTGCCATTGTTTTTTCTTCCCTTTTTTACTTTTTCAAGATTGAATCTGACCAAAAGCCATATATATAAACATTGGATTTCTTTTCAATGTTTTACTTTCCTTTTAAATGACAAAATAAAACACACACTTACCCTAAGCTTTTCATTTAGCAGTGTTCTGAAAAAGGAGAAAAACTTTAATGACAGCAAAGAACATGAATATTTCTATCATCCAGTTAAATCATTTTTAATTTTTAAAGTACCAGTAATAATAAATCAACACAAAATAATATTGTAATCTTCATCTTCATACAGAGCAAGCAATGCAAACTATCTGATAAACAAGTTAGGATATATGATTAACATTAAACACTTTTTGCGTAGACAAACACTCACTTTCTCATACAATACACTGTTCCCACTACAGATGTCCCAGATATCAGTACATCAGGATTGATGACTAAGAGACCCTGGTTATCACTAATATGACACACCCCACTGTCATCAAAGTCTCCAAGAACATTGACAATGTCTCCTGGTTGAACCAATGTATCTGTCCAGAATCCAGAGAGAACACATTTCCTTCTCTGATTTCCAGACGCTGACTCTACATCTAAAATAACTTCATTTCTGAAATGAAAGGGCAAAGTACCATGAACCCTGACTCATGAGTCTTCCCACAAATATATACAAAAAGTTTAATTACCTATGACTTTTACAATATATTAAAAGAGTGCTTGCTTGTTATGTTTTTGGAAGTCTAGAGAACTCACAATTAACTTAGAAATCAAAACTGTACAGAAATTAGTTTTATAAAATTGATAACCTTTCATGATGGACTGCCAGAACCAGATGTCTTCCAAACTGAACTGCAGGGGCTCTGCTGTCTATAACTTCATCTTTTTTCCTTATAAAAAAAAACAAATTAAATATATTTATTTATCCAAAAAATTCTAAAAGACAAGTAAAGTGACTGAAGACATTCTCACCTCTCACTGAGTTTATAAAGATACCAGAATTAAAAAGAAAATTTGTCTGTAAAATCAGTTTATCATTAGCAATCCTAAACTCAGTCCACGTACCTCCCTTTCTGTTTAAATGGTGTTAATTGTTTTATTCCTCTACTCAGCTCTTCATCTGCAATGTTATCAAAGTCAACATCACACATCCAGGAATCATTGCCAAATGATACAGACAATCCAGGATGATCATTCTCAGCAGGTGCTTCCTGGTGTTTGAAACTATTATCTGTATCAGATTGCAGCATTTCTTCCTGTGATTCTACAGTTTCTATCTTCATTTCCTGTGATACACTTTTTTCCTTTTCCTGGCTGAAAGAATCGATTTCTGGGATGCCTTTTGAGACATCACTGTGTTGACAGCTTTCAGAGTCAACACAACTACCAGACAAGAAATCTGTGATTTCAGGCTCTTCTGTCATCACTGTATCCCCAGCACTGTCAGACACAGGTTTTTTGTTCAAAGAAATTTCTGATGCACTGTTCAACTCCCCTAGCACCTCAGCAAGAATCTCATCATTCTTATTAGAAATTGATGTTGGATTCCCAAATGAAGTAAAACCACTCTTATCACCACTTTCTTGTGTTTTATCATTGTCCATTTTTATTTGTGTTCTTTTCTTTTTTACTTTCAAACCATGTGATGTCATCTCTGTGATGCTGTGCTTTGGCTTGCTGGGATTTTGGCTCTGCAGTTCATGCAAAATTTCCTCAAGAAAGTCATCTGAAATGTCAAGCACTTCACCCTGTTCTGACTGACTACCATTATCTTTGGTTAAATCAAAATCCAGATCTTTCTTTACACTTTCTACTTTTTTATCATCAATCTCTTTTCCATTTTCTCCTGCTAATCTCTTAGGGTCAGGGGATTGCCCTTTGCTAAGCCATCTTCTTTTCCCACTGGTACTTCCTTTGCTGCTATTCTTTTTCCATGGGGACAGGGACTTGGCAGAGGAAAAAACTCCCTTGGGTTTACTCCTATTTGAACTGCCCTGTGGTGGTTTTCTGTCAACAGAGACTCCCAGCACTGGTTGTACAAAGTCTACAGGTACTGTTGTCTTCCAGTCTACAGTATTCTGTGGTTGCTCCATGCTGAAGTTGGGGACAGGGTTGGGTGAAGTCAAGTTTGGTAAATCAACGACAGATTTAGATGGTCTACTCTTGGGCTTAGTTTTTATTTTACTATTTTGTTGCTTGTTTGGTTTAACAGAGAGCACTGATACAGGTGTTAAAAAGCTCCGCTGTAGGGGTTTCTTTTTACAAACAACAGATTTCAGTGGGTCTTCAGGTGTATCAGGTATGATTCCATCTTGACCTCCATGTATATCCACCCTGTCTCCATTTTCTGGCACACTCACTTAGTGATTCTAAAGAAGTAAACTCTTGTGTTTCAGGGATAATCAACTGACTTTGATGACCATGTGTGTTCTTTTGCTCTAGGGACTCAGTAAAAAGATCCACCACTTCTGACTTTTCCTCATGTGTGGTTACAGAAATCTCAGGTTGAGTTTTTTTCTTAAGTTTCAGTTTACTCTTTGGTGCCATGTCACCTTGTCCTATTGCACTGAACAAAGATTTTGGCTGGTCTGATGATGGAGGCTAAAAAAATTAAAAAATATTTACTTTCTAAAAGATTAATGTTACTTCTTTTTTTCTACTTACAGATATTAATATTAATACCCGTTGCAAATACAAACTTGAAGTTGCACTGTACACACGATAATGGAGGAAATAGTGAATTTTACCGATATGCTATATTTTTTCAGTCATAAATACTCAAAATTACCACACTTCTATTGAGGGGTAGAGACAATATTGAAAGGAGGCTACCAAATAGTTCTATTCTTTATAGTAAAGCACCAAGAAGGCTTTACAGTATATAATTTTTTAATGATTTTCCCTATTGAAAAGATTGAGACACAGCCACAATTACACTATTTAAAGATTTTACTAAATATTGTTAAATGTTATCTAATGTGAAGATAGTATATGGGCAAATGTAATTTAAAAATTTGTAGTTCAATTACACACATACCTTGAAAAATGACAAAATCTTCATCTGATTTGCGCCCTCCTTCACAGACTAAAACAAACAAGTACATGTACGTATGACATAACGTCTAAATTCAATTCTCTACTGCTAGTAAGTGACATAAGAATAATACTTTTTATATATATTTACATACATTTTTTAATAATCAAATCATCACCCAAATATTTTCATTCTCCCTACCCATGTCATTCTAGACTAAATTGTTTATTTGTAGCAGTGTTAGAAATTAACGCTGGACCGTCTGCCCGGGGCTGATAACTTTCAGAATGGGCTGAGAAGTTTTCCCACCCGGCAGACATTCAGTCTAGCTACTATTCAAGATGGCTGGACTTTCGGTCCAGCACCTAATTTTCCTAAGAGGCAAACACTGATTTGTAGCATTACTTTTCTATATCTCATACCATCATATTGACCTACATCAACTTTTCTTTATCAATTATACATACCATATCTTTCTTTAACTTTCCCATTGCTGTCCGGATTTTCAACAGATATTGGACTCTCCTTCAACCAAACCTGGCCCAAAAATGTAAAACATAACTTTTTAAACTAGTATATGAAGGGGGTAGTCTTGGGTAAGCCAAACACACAGCTAATGTTTAATCCATCTAGAGACACCCTCTTTCATATCTAATCTAAACTGCTTTAGAATGCTTTAAAATGCTTTAGATTGGATCTACAACATTTGCATCATTGAACTTAGCCAGTGACAATCAAAACGAATTACAAAGTTTGATTTAAAACTGCGGTAAGCCGATTAAAATGTGCACTTCATTTATCCATTAGTGCTCATTTCAAATTATACCCGTACATATTGCAATCACCTTTTTCTATCTGTAACAAATAATAATTCAAACATCGTTTGATTATGATGAACTCCACACTTTTACATTTTCCAAGTTCTCGCCGCTCAGCCTCGCTTTCGCTCCGTCTTTTGAACCTCTAATAGAAAAGAGCTGTATGGGATTTTAAGTCGACAGATATATTTTACATTTATAAGCCAACATACAATAAGTCCCAGTATTTGAGTCATAAATTGGCCTACTACCTATTTATTTTTAATTCTGATTGTAATTAGAAAGAAAATAATTAAGAAAATGGCATTAGGCCCTATAAGAGAGAAAAGGACAGGTCCACAAACAAGGGAACAGCCAACGAACTAAGAAAACGTAAGAAAATTTATCATTTTGAGATGTCTATGAATTATTTTTTACTAAGTATATGTACAATAAGAGAAGAGTGTTATTTTTAGGTACCTTTTTTCTCAGCAAATAAGTACAGACGCTTCATATTACCATAACAAAATAGGCCTACCGTTTTAAGATAGAGGCAGCGATTAGTGGGCGTTTTCTACAATTTCCTTTAACGCTCAATTTTATCTTCACTATAAAAAAACTTGTATACCTATCCAAAGGCGTGTTTGGATCAGTATCAAATAACCTCAGTTTCTGAGGCGATGCACAGTTTCTTCATTTTTTTCTATTTCCGTACATGCTTTATTGTTCAAATAACCTCCGATACATATGGATATTTGAAAATGAAGACGTTCAACGTGTCGTTCAGCGGATATTCATTGTGCTTTGATAATGTCAAGAGCCAATACGTACCTCATATTTTTTACTGAATGTAATCAGGCAAAAGCGGATTTTCTTTAGCAACCAAAACTGCTGTATTCACGATTTCCCCCTGCCCATAAACAGAAAAGATTATGTTTGCAACTATTGTAAGGATTATTATTATTATTATTATTATTATTATTATAGTGTGTATGTTTGTGTTTGCAGGCGTGCGCGCACGCTATCAATTACTATTTTCAGTATGAAAGTGATGCCAATCGCATACCACATGGGTAATGAAATCATTTTTGAGTTCTGAGCCTGTCGGAATATACAAGATATCGAAATCACAACATACAGAAGATAGTCATTCAGCTGTCGCATGATTGGGTTTACGTCATTACCTTTTAGACTGATATGGTATTGGACTTAACCACTACTAGCTTTGCTCGGAAATTTTAACGCCAGATAACACGTGCGCGAAACACTCTAGACAACGGATTCTGACCACCTTTTTAATACGTTTCGCTCGATCTCCGCTGTCAATTCGATCCACTAGAAGTTTTCATTATTATTCTTATTACAACAATTATTATTAAAGACAATTTTTTTTTGGTATTTTGGCTTTCAATCCATCTCTAATCAAGCCTTTATAGAGTCCCTATATTATGTGGTTTTCAAAACAACCAATTAAGTTCAATGTATAAAGATGGCTAGTGTTTAGGACATGCAATGCTCATCAGTTACACAACTTTTGGTATTTACTGCGCCTTTGTTACCCGCCTTTGGTTCTATGATGCAAAACCTCTTCATAACACCCTTTTCCCGTTTTTATATATATTGATCGATATATTTGGATCGCATGAAAATAGTTTCAAAGAAGACAAAAAAAAAAGTTCACAAACGCCCGACATCTTGTGAGCCCAATTAATTTTTTTATTGGAAAGAACGTCAGGTTGATTGAATACCGGGGCTTATCGACTAGGAATGCCAGATTATTAAAATATCAAATCACAATAACAGAAAGTTGCCATTTAGCTGCAGTATCATTAGATTCAAATAAGGATAATGCCAATACCGATAAGATTAATACGGAGTCTAATTATCGTGGCGGTATCCACTACCTTAAATCTGCAGGAGAATATCGACGTCTCAGAGCACGCATTTCCAGTTGTGTTGAAAAGTGGCTGTATCAACTCGATATTTTCGGGTAATTTATTGCCTTTTTTTCCATCATATCCGTTCTCTTTGTCTCACTGTTCTACGTCTGATATTTGATTGAATACTTATGCCACCAGTCCTAGACACAAGAATATGCTATTCTTAAATCCTCACAGGATCCTAGCAATTTAAAGACGGCGGAGGAGGGGGGGGGGGGAATGCGCGTGACATCTTTTCCCGAACAAGTTTTCTACGCTTTCCAAAACATTCCAATATCGTTACTTTTTTTTCAAATCCGTTCCAGAAAAAACACGATGTTTTCGATATGCCATTTATTATAAACATCATGTACATGCAAGTGATAGCATACATCATTACACTTTCCAGTAAGCACGTCTCGCAGTATAGAATAATACATGATGATAGCGTACTGCTGAGTACGTCAATAACACCCCTACCTCAATGACGCCAGACACAAGAGATTCCACAAATACAATAAATAACTCACTACAACAGTCACTCAGTCACATCCACGCTATAAGAATATATATATATTTTTTACGATATATTTTGACACAATGGATAAATGAAAAAGTAATCTTGACATACCTAACCTGGTGACGAACCAAATGTTTCCCCTCTCACAGACGAGGAATAATTTGTAAATTAATAACTTATCAAATGAATGTTACAACAGAGAATGTTTATATCTGACGCTAGTACATTTTCAGAAATTTTGCTTCTTTTAAACTTATCAAAACTCCAGTCTTGCAATGAATGCAGATGAAAGGTTTTGTTGATGATAAAGCCAAGGTTGCGTCAAATCCATGGTATCAACTCTCACAATATTTGTTAGCACACAACGTCCAAAATCAAAGCTGAAAAGTCTGGTTTATCTGTGTGAAACTGAAAATTACGCATCTTGCAATAGGTAAGATCATCATTTCAAACGAAGACTCCGATTTACATAATACTAACAACTTGCAATATTTTTCATTTACAGTAGTGGCATAGTGTTTGGCATACCAATAAGATCACCTGTGACTTAGCTTAACCACATTCAACAGAGCTTAGTCGGCTTGAAATGGCTTTCATCACTTGGCCACAATAAATGAAACGGCCAACCGCCGCAACGCACTTGCTCTGTGTGCGATATCAGTCACCAATGATATCGATCTCTCTCTGTAGATTTAAAACAACGTTTAACACCCAGCGGTCCATTTCTTCCCAGCAATATTGCTCAAGGAATGATAAGTGATCTTTTTTGCTATTTTTTCACTACATTACGCCTGCAGCTGAAACGCTATTTAAACCGATGTCTCACTGAACCTAATTAAAATAAAATCTTGTTCTGGCGTTACCTTTCCACAACGCATTCACTGTTTTCTAGTGCAAAAACCAATATCGTAAAACCATTACCCAAAGGTAAGATAACAACAGTAAAAAACTGTAGGCAACTAACACATAGTTCCACAAAACAACATGAAATCAATATTTAAAAGACTCAGTTGATCCATAATTACCACCGACTTGTGCATGAACTAAATCACACCCAAAGCTCTGTTGGCTACATGAGCGATTGAAACTAAATGTGCAGCTGACAATGCAGCACTGTCCATGCATTTTAACTAAACACATCTAAAGGGACATGTTAGGATTTCCCTCCATTTTAACAACATGGTAGTTAAAAGTCTCATTCGTTAACAAAATGTAGCAAATTTCAGTGAGTAAAAACTTGATAATTGTGCTTATGTGAAAAAATAAACGATACACCATTTCAGATGTAAGTTTCTATTTGACCATGAAAAGCACATCATTATAATATTACAACTGACCTTTTATTAAAAGATTGATGTGCATGGTGAAATTAAGCAAAGACACCCCTTTAACCATAAAAATATCAACTAATAAGCCTGAAAAGAGCAGGGTTCTACACATATACATGTATATATATGATAGCAGAGGTCAGGGGAGGTGAGGGTAGAACGCCTGCAGGTGGTAGTCTGACAGCTGACAGCTCAGTAAAGCATGCACACCTGTGAGGTTACCTATTACCACAAGAACAGATGAGCATGCTGAACCAGTTTTATGGAGCCAAGACTTCTTATTGCTCACAGAATAATTTAAGGGAAAATTACTTAACGATAAAAGAAATTTGACTGGTTTAGTGTTTTTTGAGGTTAATAAGCTCAAAGATGCCTGGATTCCAAATAATATCGGTAAAAAGTTTGGACTGGCACCAAAGTATGCAGTTTGCTGTTAGCTGCAGCACAGGGTTGGTGCTGTATTCAGGTACAGGAAGTATCCTTTCTTGCTCTCTGAGTTTCCTGACCTTACTGGAATGTTCTTCTACCTCATCTAGCTTGTTAGATCCCCAGACATGTTATTAAATGGTAAAACCTGACTGCTTAATGTGGAACTAGGGAAACTTGAGATGACAGATCAAGGGCATCCTAAAATAATTGGTACAATTGGCCAAATAATACAAAAACATAACTTAAACCATTGCAAGCAATGGCTTCAAAAAACTTTTGGTCCAAATAACAATTTTCTTTAATTGTTATTAACAAGCAAAATGCATGTTAACCTTAACTGTAGATTCCACTTTAACAACAGGTGGACGAAAATAAACTGCATCATGTATACACATTTCCCTGGAACCCAGCAACAGTCAATACCTAGCCAACTAATAAAGCTACATGTTATATGCAGGTTCTGTTGCTTATAGGTTTTGCAGTCATGTTGCAAAAACAAAGTCTGATCAATACATTCTTATGTAGTGCCAATACATGGCTCTTAACAACAAAGGCGAAAGGTGTGTTTGTGTCTAACAACACTTATAAATGAATGTGTAATGCTCAAAATGAAATGATGGTGCCTTGTTGAGCTCCTCTTGAGTCAATCAACATGTTCAGAATAATGTCTGTGATGAGATGAAAAAATGGATAATCCTCCTTCTTCTTGTTTTGTATGAAAAATAATGTTTGCCATGGTGAAAACGCCATTAATGCAGCAAGAAGACATCAGCCTCACATGCTCAGTAACATGATATATGCCTTAAGTGAAAATTAGATCCTATGGAATCTTCAGCCATCACCATGGCAACATAGTATCACTTTCAACAGCAAATTGTCTGTGATTCTTGGAAATAAAAGCAGATCTTGAAAATCTTGAACTGTAAAGCTCAATCCCATCCATTGTCTTTAATCATGTGTGCAAGTTCTATGATGTATTTGCCTTCTTTGTATTTTTGACTGGATTCAAAAGCATGTTCCTGTAAAACAAGAAAGTAATCAGTGAGTAAAATATTGAATCATGATTAGGCACGACATTAATTTTCAACCTCATCAATATGGCCATCCAATTACTGACATTTTCCATTTTGCAGTCTGCTGTGAACTGATTTAACCTTTGCATTTTCCTGAAACACAATATTGTAAAACATGGAATATATTTATGTGAGACAGGAAACTGAAAAGGACTCTTTTGTTGTGAAAAAAAAGGGAAACAGCAACAAAAACCACATCTTTTGTATGACCATAAGATATTGTACTCAGTTAACTGGCTCCTTCTCCTTTGTTTGCATGGAGAATTTCATTAATAAATCTAGTACAAAAAGTAATAGCACTGCACTCATGGTGAATCAGACAACTTAGACTGTGTAATTATTTTGGCTTTCCAGACAGACAAATGTCCCAATTTATCATTCTACTTTCCACGTAAAAATCAACCCACTTTACATCTTTAAGTTGAGTTTAGTGGTAATCACGCTGTTTGACAAGTTTTTTGTAGTTCTACCAGCACTGACACATCTCTAATCTACCAAAATAAGCATAAATCTTACATTTCTATGATTAATTTTCAAAATCCCTGTTGTTAAAATGGTGAATTCTATTTTATTTTAAATAAGACTGGTAGCTGTTGCAATGCATTAACTGACAACAAAATCAGACGAGGCCCATTAGTTTCAACAAAGACCATTATTTAGCAGTATATCCAAAACCACAGAAATAGAACAAAACATATTAAAAGGTTTTTAAAAAACTTTGAATGACATTTCATCTCATGTTGTTAATTAATATCTGTCTGTCACCCAAAAAAGTTAATCAGCAGAAAGGAGGGAATAAAATATCATATATCATGCAAATATATGGTATAACTAACTGTAAATAATTTCTCATTACACTAATGTACTAATATACAAATTGCCATAAAGAAATATCATATTGAATGTAAAATCATCACTGTAACCAAAAATATCAGCAGGGTCTTATCATGAAACTGTGAACTAGAATTCTCCAAGGAGTATATCTTGATAAAATATTGAGAGAAAAATTTCCCCTTGGTCTGACCGTGCACTGCAAAGATATCTTCTATTCAAATATCCATCTGCCACTTTCCACACACTTCATTGCTTCACTAACAAATGGATTTCTCTCTCCATCTCCACTGAGCAATTAAATTCAGCTCAAATTAAATGTCAGATCATGATATGAACAATTCAGTGGCCATTAAATCAGTGATGACTCCATTCAAGTGACCTAAGAAAACTACTTGGGTGCATGAGCACGGAAAATTCCATGGCAACTACTATCTTATTATTCTCATGGTGATTCCTAAATCTCCTTGTGCATGGAAAATGTGCATCTGTCCTTTTGTAATGTCCCAAATGTTTATCTTTAACAGTCCAATTATATTAAAATACAAAACCAAAACATTTTAATATGTCTGCAACATTAACCTGGGACATAATCTCACTGTTAACATGTCAAATGATGAATAAAATTAAAGTACAAATTATCCACATGTTTGCTTTTTCCAAAAGCTGTGTTGCACAATCTCACTGGTGATGTAATAATGTTTTGTGGTAAAAATATCGCTTTTATATTCCACAGTTTGTCAGTCATTAGAGAAGCCATTATTATTATTATAACTTTACAGCATTGTTTGGGTAAAAAAATAACTGCAGAATAAGACCTCAATTTGGTGTATGGCAGATTTTATCATCTAACAGGGAGTTATAACAGTTTACGAAAGTTTTTTCACTAAAATCTGAGATAAGAGTTTGTTTAATATGTTTTTAGTCAATCTATGAAAATTGCAATATATTGGATGGATAGTGAATTATACCTGAAATCTTCACTTTTCTTAGAAGGGAATATTTAGACATAACTATTTAGAAGGACAAAAATCAGGTGAGCTTGATATATGTACACTGTAGGCTAGGCACCTTTTATCTGAACAGGAATCAGGATATTCTAGCAATGATTAATAGTGTAAACAAATCGCTACATCTTCATTTTCCATTTGAAATAGACTTCACACTTACAGTGCCACACAATCCATCTATAAATTGTGCAAAATGTTTCAGCATCAGATGGATATGGACTAATGGGTTATGATATCTGATGCAGTTGAACTTGTGAACCAGTGTCAGGCTGGTCAATGAACGGGGGTCAGAGGACCGGACAAATGTCACCTACTGACCACATGACACTAGCTGGAAGTTAAGTCACTGAGACACTGTTGACCCCATGTGACATGTCTGTCCTGCCGCACCAGGTATCTACAACAGGTTAGGTTAACCTGAGTATGTCTCCAATACATGTGACAGTAGTACAGTATAGAACAGAAACCCCTGCTGCTAGCAGATCAAGCTGTGTGTAAATCCTACAATAAAACTTACATATTTCCAGCCCAGTGTTGTTTTACAGCATTCACAGTATATATCAGCCACAGCATGGAGCCCTGTCAGAAGCACCCTCTCTTCAGCAGGGCCACACCCAACATTGACACTGAAATAAAAATTTATCATCCTTTTATTTTTTGTTTTTAATACAACAAATTATCTCTTGCTTCAAAAACATCAACAAGATTGTTTTTTATTATCTCTGTATGCAAATTACAGACAACAGAATACATATACTGGTTTCACAATTGGATTCTTTTAACAATGTAAACTGAAATCAATAGTAGAAATTGGCAGCATTGGTCCGATTCCACCATGCATAACTTGTTATGGACAGCCATAGTACTAAGCACATGAAACTACATTATCTTTGAATCAATCTTTAACTTTGGCACCGCTACATCCCTCACGTTGAAAAAGTACAATGCTAAATTCATCAGTGTGCAGATCTGACAGAAAATCTATAGTATTACTTTAACTCTCTCTGCCATCACTTTAATCTAAACTTCCACTCAGAGAAGTTTAATTGGTTGGTTTGGTTTTAATGGACAAATCCCAAGGGTATTTGATGAAAGAAAAATAGTCTTGTTAAACAAGTTGCATGAAAGCGATTCCATTAATGAGTTGGTCCATGTAATAACTGGGCTATTAACACAATGCTTTTACAATGGCTGACATGTAAGTGAAAGGGAAAATCAATCTATCATGGCATTCACACAACACCATTATGCTTTTAATTTTAGCCAGCAATCTTAAATTTTCATCTATAAAGGCTCACAATGTGCACATGTTATCTACTTAATTCTTCATATCTGATTAGTCTAACTAAAAGCTTTAAATTAACCATAGAATATTTTAAGTGGAGATGGCAAATACTTTGTGTCAAATGAATTGTGCATTTGGATAGGATTACACGATTTGAATAAGTCAAATTTAAATGTGTTGCATCAGTTGTATAAATATTGAAACTGCGATACCAGAGCTTTCATTAGGGCCCAAAACAGAAGGTTGTAATTCATTGTTTAGGGTCATCTGAATTTGAGAAATTGATCTTAAAATGTATCTGATTACAGTCCTTTAAATTTTTGGATAAGATAGATTTTGGGAGTTTAGAGAAAAAGTAAAAGAAACAACATCAAAATCTTTTTGCATGCACTATATCTAGTCCATGGTTTGCCAGTTTCTTCAAGTTACATTCTATAAAGGAGAAAACTATAATCAAACTTGGCAAGTAGGGAAAAAAACAGACAGCACTGAATTAATCCAATGTTTTACCTCTGCAAGTCTCTCATAACTGCAGAATCAGAAAAAACATTTATAAAACTTTGCAAGATATGAAATTCATTAAAGAGAACAGCATTGTAATTCCTCAGACCGATTTCCTTTCCTGATATCAATTTGAGATTTACCTGTGCCCATGACACAATTTAAACACAAGTTTAAGAAACGTGCTGCCCTACTTTATAGAATCCGATCAATAACAGGTTTTCAAAGGTATACAGAACCAACTGGGCAACTCGGATAAAAGCACCAATAAACATTATTTGTATAAGCTCACCTTAGCATGGCACTCTATTTAAAAGGCACAAACTGAACTACCAATCCTTCTAGTACCTACCATACCTCAGTACAGTATTTGATTTATTTAGCTCAAGTACAAAATTGCCCATGTGCACAATAATCTGTCTACGGCCATATGTTGCACTTGGTTAACGAGGGTGCAGATTAGTATATCTAAAAGCAAATGTTTACAAATGGTACTTGATCTTTTAAGGTTGACAAAGGAGTCAAAACATCAGGTGACATACTGATCTATCCTTTTAGGGACAATCCACATATGTGATGTCAACAGTACAACATGAAACTTCGTATCTAATCTTTTATAACATGAGCCCACTTTATCACAGTAAAGATAAATAGTACCCTTATATTTTCACCCTTCTGGCATTGTTCCACAAATGATTATGATACTGGAGTGTTTTGGAAACAAAGTTGACCTTACATGTAGAAACTGCAAATGTAAAAGCTATTGCCAAAAGACACGAAAAAATTAATGATCAGCTGAGCCTCATGAAAGATAAAGGCAGCAGTAGCCAATGTAATCATATTTGCTGCCTCTAGTAAATGGTACAAATTCTCCAACCCAAACATCTCACAAGGGATACAATAAATAATAGACCAATACACGAAGATTGCATTCTACTTGGCAAGCTCAGGCTAGCGAAACTGCCAAGCAAATGTTATCAAATTGGCATGTACATCATATGGGCAACACTGACATTCACTTTAACTACATGTCAAGATTCATGAAGTTGGGAAGAGGATATTAAATTAACCAAAGAATACCTGACCTCAAAGTGCCTTACTGTGCCAGGTGTCCTGGCTTACTTTGATGCTTCATCCTTTTACAATATCAACACTTTGCCCATTTCCCTACAGACCTTATCAGGTTTACCTCAGCCTGTGTATTGCACAGATGGTTAGTTGAGGTTACATATAATACGATCAACTAGTCCTCACAAGTACACCACTCGATGGCACTATTGATGAAACCCCCTTTCCTTTAACTATAAGGATCCTGCATCTGAGAAGATATCTTAATGAGAACACCATCTTTTAAATCAAAATGTAGAGAGAATTCTGTATAATGTGCATGAAATAATGGAATGTGCCAAAAGTAAAAAAAAAAATTCAACAGGATCAGGAAAAGCAGCCATCAAAATTCAAGATCATGCACATAATAAGGTCCATAATGACGTGAGCCAGAAAAAAATTGGAGACAGTGTTTTGAAAGAATGGAAAAGGCAAAGTGGTCCTCAAATATCAACCTTAATTTTCAATAATTACTTTATACAATTTTTAATAACAAATAATTTTTTGATAATGATTTTAATAATAATACTGAAATCAAATAAATAGAACCAAAATCAGTTTCAAGGGAGTAAACTGCACAAGTAATTTGCATACTTTATCTCTGAAATGTATTATCGTGCCATACTGTTTACCGACAACGAAATAGGATATGGGATTTTTATGAGTTCACGTTACACGAAATTAGAACAGGACTTTTGATATAAAGTAAATCCTATTCTACTGTGATTTGAATTGAGAGGTTCAAGAAAAACAGGGCCAGTACTTAACTTCCCTGCACTGGAACTTCCCCACACTCTTCTTCCCATACTGCATCTCTTTGTATGACCTCTGAGGGGCCCCAGGATGGAACAAATTTGATTAAAAAATTTGTTTGGAACAGTTACAGAAAATGATATGATACTGTAATGTGAATGAAGGCCTGCAGTCAGCTATTTCAAAAGGGGGTTCTTTTTGTAAAAACAGCAGACTTTTTTACTCCCTCGATTGACCCATTTTGAAAATGGCATGGAACCTATGTCAATTTTTCAGTCAGAATAGACCTTTTCTGACCAAAAGTGCAGTTCTTACAACCACCCTACCCACTCCCCCCCAATCCCTCTCCTCTCCACCCCACCCCACCTCACCTCACCCCATCCCTCTTACAGGCCTGTGAATGGCAGCTGAATACGCTGTGGCCATTTCAGCACCCTTGGGCCTGTGCTGCTTACTATTATATCATCAATTTCTTTTACCTGAATTGCTCCTTACACCTGAATAAATTTTATGGTTACAGGAGTCAACAAAGCTGCAGGGACACTTCCCTAGTGGACTGACCACCATTTTATACTTCTTTTGTTGTCCCTAAGTGAATATACTCAGTGTGGCAATCAATAGAGACTGGCAAAGGAAATGTATGTAAATATTTATTGGGTAGATTACAATGTAGAGATTATATATGTTACTGCATGAAGTTAGGTCATACACCTGTAAAAAAACCTACACCAATAAAGAAATAAATATTTTATTATACTTACACAGAATTGAAGAGATATGCTCTGCCTTGACTGCCCTGAAAGGACTGTGAAAGAAAAAAAAGAAAACAAAGTTACACATTAATGATAAGATATTTATGGCATGTACTTTTTAACATTTAAAGATATTTTGGACATAACTCCCATCAAATAACACTATCCATCCACACTATCTTCACAGTATCATGCTGATGCTGTTTAGACAAAGAAAGCCGCAAGGATTTCACCCTTAAGACACAAGATGACAAATTTCCTGCTCAAATTACATTGTTTACAAAAGCAGGAGGTGTAAACTAGCTCCACTTTCCTATCTTAGGGTTTCCAGACAAGGGAGCAAACAGGACTTGGTGCCAAACTATGATCTCATCACCATTGATTGGGTGTAAAAATCAATAAATGTCATCAGCACTTCATATATGTATATGATGTAACACAAGTATATCTATTCACTTATATACAGGGAAACTTGTTATCTCTTATCTGACATGAGGGTAGCATAACAAATTACCATTGGCAATCGTTTTGAGGCTAATACATGTTTATGGTAACTAAACATTGTTCTTTTATTGAAAATAAATTTTGAGACAAATGAAATATGGCCCCAATGCCTATCAAATCATTCTGTTAAATTAATCTAATACTTGGCTGACATTAAGTTAACCAATCAAGTGAAATGTATTGGGCTTGCCACCTTGATGTTTTCCTGGTCTAAATAGTTTCCTTGCATGCAATCAATATACCTCAGTATGAAATGCAGGTGGACTGTAAGAAACCTTAAATGGAAAGCTCACACAGAAACTAATGGATGTGTATCGGAAACACACCATGACAAAGTTCAGTAAACAAGAGTTTCTAGCCTTTTAGGATATTGACTTGCTTTGTGTGGGACTTAATTTGGTTACAGTTTCCAAAACACAACAAAAATGATGTCAAGGTGTAATGCTGCATATGCTCTGATCAATCCGTCCATCTTTGCTTTGTGATGTTAACTTTTAACCACCCTGTATTTCATAGTCTATATAAAATAGCAATCTGAAAAAAGATCTCTGTTTTCATGGATCATATGTCACATATGAAAAAAGAAGAAAAAAATGAGCCAACCATCATTCTCAACATGTTCTATTCAACAAAACTTGCACCACATATTTTTATAGCTATGTATGCATGTTGCAGTTCACTTTCAATCTGGGATGAGGACTTGTTCAACATATCAATTTCATAAAATGGTGTGAAGGATATCTGTTCCGTCAATTTGTTATATGTTTACATGAAAATATAGGCGCCTCATGAGCTGAAATACTGGGAAATCAAGCTCAAGTGGGATACTTGGGATTATTAAAAGAGTACATTATAATGGTGAATCCCAAAAGCCTAGCCATTGTGCAACCTTTTTCCACAGATATGATTTAGGGTTATGAGAAAAAAGTTGGGAGAAATGGCCCAGTGGCCTTATGACTGGGGATCTTCAGGCTGCTTAAGGCACAAAAACATACAAAAAAATGGATTTATGGTTTTAACAAAAACTGCATGCCTGTAAGTTAAATGAAAAGTATCCCCACCTTTGAGATCAGTTCATCATGATTGGCTAGGTGAGCTCGGCAGTGGACGCAGCTATAAGTGCGATGGCACTGGCTCGGGAGATACGCCTGGAACGTCTTCACCATGGTGAGTGTAGACATCAATTCTGGCAACTATTATGAAGACAGACCCACATCACTGATAATCATGGAGAGAAACAAAGGCAAAATGATCCTCTGATGCCTCGCTTCTCCCTCACTAATCTTTCAGGTCATCCAACTCCACATGCGATTCATCTGAAAACAAAGGCAATTGGTCAAAATTATGGGAATATGGAATTAAAGTCTCTTGGGTTACTGCATTGTGTTCAGGTCATGATAAACTGCTAACTCGTTCATGCTCAAAGCTCTGTTTGTCTACTTAGCGATGCCTTGGAGATACACCACACTACTGTGAGGTAATGCCTCCTGAAATTTAATTTACTTGATATATTGACCATGGAAAAAAGAGCTCTAATTAGTCAAAATGAATCACTCAAAACCCCTAGAAGCTGAGAGTCAGTAGGTACATCCTGACAAAGACTTCACTTCAGCAGATGCTGTTGGTTGGTTTTCTTTGTTCAATTACTACCAAAACTGGACTGCAGCAGCTGTCAGCTCTTACCTGATATAAAAGTAATTTGAGGGCAGCCGTCAGCAGTAACCAGACTTTGGAGATATCACTTTCAGACGTCTCAATCCACAGGAACTGAAACTAAAACAATGATTTGACTTTAAATGCTTTTCATGACTAAATAGGTGAAAGTGTCTGCTTTAACTGCAGGTCTCCTAAAAGTGATGTCTCCAGAGGGCTATTACCTCACACCTGGACTCTTAGTTGTCATTATACCATTATCATGATTGCAGATAATACCTTTATTGTCTCAATTACTATATCAATTAGAAACAATCAAGGGAACAGATAAATATCTAACTTCAATACAATGCTAACAAAGATTATTATCAACAATGTCATGACTGAGCTTTATGTTCTATTCTAGCATACTTCATGATACTCAAGTAGAACAATAGAGACAATTCCACTAGGCTGACAAAAGGAAAAGATAATGTCACACTATATATGGGGATTCCCAAAATAAAATTTCAGCAAACATCTTACTCATCATAATATTAGCAAATTTCTCTCATAAATGTGAAATTCAGTATTCAGTATTAAGATGTTGGTCAAGGTTAACAACAGAACTAAGAATGCTTATTCATCATTCAATTGCATGACAAGAAAAAAAAACTTGCATGGTAACATAACCATTTCCAAATGACTTGCTAAGTACATAACAAAAGAGGAAGTATTGTACACAAAGAAGTCTAGGCTTCTGTCTAATGAGTCATATGGGTATTTCCTTCAGGTTCCCAAACTGTCCCAACACACAGACTTGGAAAAAGAACATTGTACACAAACAAGTCTGGGCTTCTAATGAGTCACATGGGCATTTCCTCCAGCTTCACATATTGTCCCTACACACACAAAGAAGCCACAAAGTCTGCAGTGTGTTATCAGATTATTTCCTCACCATTTCTAAAGCAGAGATCATTCCAAGCTCTCTCCACTCCCAGGACAAAAGAATGCATTTGCCAATACATGTATGTGGATCTGATATCAGCTTATATTAAAGCTAGGACAGAATATAGACGTTGAACAAAAGTTCTTAATATTTTTATTGCAGCTCCATTTTGCAGACATGATCTTATTAAATACCACATAATACCCTGCTATGTAGCAAAGATAGCTGAAATCAATAATAACAATCAGGCTGAGGGATTAGACCAGATTGTTATTGTTATTGTGACCACCTAATCTTGAGATATCGTGACCTGGTTTTAATACACATGGTTTATGTGCTACTAATTTGAAACGCAATATCTTTAAATTGCATCTTTATATTGTTCACATTCAGTTTTCTTGTACCTTTTTGCAAGTCTCCCCGGGGCTTATATGAATAATTCAGTTTTCTTTCTACCTGGAATCAATAAAAACCTCTTGTCTACATGTAAATAATATAACAGTCATGATCAAGGTGACTGGAACAAAGAGATACACGGTGTCAAGTTGAACAGCACAGAGAAGAATACTGTGTTAAAATTCACACCAAGAAACTGAGAAAAGGGAAAATGATGTGTAAAGGACTGAAGTAAAAAAAGAAAGAGAAAGTGAACAAAGAATGAGTCATATATAATTATTCAAGGGATGATAACTTTTCTTAATCTTTCCACAGAAAGCTGCCCTATATTTAGTTTCTTGGGTTAGAAGCATTGCCACTATAAAAGGGCAATTCCAAATGACATTAAACTCATTCACCTTACCCATTCCAAGAACAGATTCAGCTACTCTACTCATCAGAAGTCCATGAAAATCAATATTAGTTACCACGGACTCAACAACCTGAATACTGCCTGAATATGGCAATAAGATAGGCATCCCAAGGTTAAATGCATGACCATTTATCTGGCAATGTCAATTTTTATATGCATTTACGCTTCAGTGCTAGTATCATTTTTATCTGTCGTGTATCAGTCCCCTCCCCGTCCTCGCCTCCCCCCTCCCCTAACACCTCGCCACGACCACGACAAAGGTCCTTTGTTTGCTTCACATGTCTGTATCTGTAACTGCTTAAGTTACATACGCCTTGAATAGCACGGTGAGATTGTATCAATGCCCATTAAAATGTCTTGATCACGCAGAGAGAGAAAAAGCTTGAATTCGCAAATGAAGTTGATCAGGAAAATCCCACATGGTTATGGCTCCAGCATGTAAACACGCTCTATACAGTATGTTAGTTCTATAGACACATTTGTCTTAGTTTTAGCAATGTTCAAGGTTAAGGGATTTACAAATTCTCTAAATCAAAACTGTCGCATGGAGTTGTAAACATAAAAGAAAACACTGTGTTAAAGAGAACGTGCATGTCTTTGTTTTGACGAGGCAGCAGCAGATCCAAACACGCACGATCAAATAGGGTTTCTGCGATCCCTGGAAAATAACCTGTTCAACAAACCAGATAAATGCTTACCTATACAATCTATCTTTCTCCTGGAGATTGCTTTCTTGAAATTTTAAGCTCTGCGATGTCAGAATCCTTTCTTTTTCTCTATGTCAGCTGTGAAGGTTATGGCGACTTGGTTGTCCGTGTTTACCTTTTTTCTGCTTGGCGGAAATTCGCTGACGTCAGTCACGTGTCTGACACTATTTTACATATACTTCCGGTACACGTGCTTCCTTGTCAAATATAAACAAACGGCACGTGTCTTGACATACGATTGGGGTTATCATTTTACCACACACGTTTAACAACTTTATTATAAGTAACGGGTTTCACTTTTCCTGAGAACTAAAGGCTTATTAAAAACATTCTTCTGCAACATCTGCACTGTATTCACGAACTTTCTCTATACTAGCATTACAATTGTTTGATATTTGAATCATCACTGTTAATGATTGGAAAACAAATGACTGCTTTGATTATGAATTTTACTCCTATATTTCTTATTGATGTCAAATAACCACCATAGAAATGGAATAAAAACTTGATACAAGATTCATAAACAATGCAATGACAAAAAAATGTAATAATTTTTTTCATCGCATTTGATTCAAATTGAACGTTAATAAAATTCCAATCAACATGGGTGCATTAAATTACTGATCAAAGTGTAAATCTTTAAGTTAACGCTGGTTATCACAAACTGTTTCACGTTTTTTTCCATGTAGTTTTTTTTTTTTTTTTTTTTTTGGGGGGGGGGGGTTTTTTATTTTTGATTGAATAATAAGGTGGTGGGCTGCCTGTTTTTTTTTTAGTGAAATGCAATTACTGTTGGTTTTAAT